GCAGCCCGTATCCTCTCCCGCACTAAACTCTGTGACCCCATCTCCCCCATTCTCACCCACCTCCATTGGCTCCCTATCCTTCAGAGTATCCAGTTCAAGATCCTGGTCCTCACCTACAAAGCCCTCCATGGCCTCACCCCACCCTCCCTCTGCTACCTCCTAACTCCTTACCAACCTGCCCGTTCCCTCCGCTCAGCCGGCTCTGGCCTGCTCCACGTTCCCCCGACCCACCCGCCTCACCATTGGCAGGAGAGCCTTCAGCCACTCTCCCCCAACCTCTGGAATTCCATCCCCCAGTCACTCCGCCTCACCCCCTCCTTAGCCTCCTTCAAATACAGCCTCAAAACCCTCCTCTTCGACCATGTCATCAGTTAACCCCCTTCCCTTCCCCTCCCCTCCCTGACCCCAGCTCGGGTCTGAAATGCTGTACACTGTCCCACTGTCTTGGGACGTCCTCCCGACGTAATGTAATCTTGTTGTTGTTGTCAGGAAATTTGCCCAAGATTTCACCCTGCTGGGAATCAAACCCAGGTGTCTCTCTTGCAAGGCGAGTGCTCTAACCATTGAGCTACAGGACTCCTACAAGGAGATTTTTATGAACTAGAGATGCTTTCCACAATAATATTTGGTGCATTATTCTTCGGCTGTGAAATGTCCCTTAAGTCAAGTGTCTCATTAAAGAGTAATGTATTTTATTTAGCTTTAAAGTAAGTGTTGAGGAAGCGTGATAAATAATGTGGTCCATTCCCTTTGAGCAGGCCGACAATTTGAACACATTTTACCCATTAATCAAGCAGGAGCAGCATTATCTCCAGCTCCCTGGTGTGGCTCATTAATGTCAGTGATCTCATTCAGAATGAAACTGTGAAATGCATCATTTGCTGAGTTTTACGCCACATATTACTGGTACAAGTAATATGCCTCACAAGCCTCCCTGCTATAAACATACAGTAATTCAAATGTCTAGCTGGAGTTTTCAGCTAAGCTTGCTTGATTTTTGGTATGCATCGAATTATATAAGCTGTGAATTTTAACCACAGCTACTAATAGTCTCAGTGAGTAGATCAGTTTTGCCATGTTGGTGAATTCAAATGCTGAGGGTTTGGCTTGAAAATCTTATTTCACAAATCGCAAATTTTGCGCTGTTTGTGAAATATATAATTTGATGCCCACCAATGAGGCAATCCTAGTATTATTAGAAAAGGTGAATGCTGGAGGATTGAGGGGTGCGGATACTGGAGCAGAACCAATAATAATAATCATCATTATATTTGGCATAACGCCCACCTTTCACAGCAAGAGGACATCTTAAAACACTTCACGGGATCTAATGTAAAGTGCAATGACCGTGAATCTTTGTAGGGAAACTCAGAAGCTAATTTGTGCACAGCAGTCCCACAAACAGGGATAAATTGAATGACTAATTTTATTTGGAGGATTGATGGCCAGGACATTGGGAGAGACTCCCTCCCGCACACAATTGGAGATTGCAGTTCTATGTGTAATAGACTGATACAATGACTGTCAGCATAGATTTTGTTGCCAACACTAAAGCTTAGGCAAATAGTGGGTCTAGCTATTGGTACTGTCTGTACATTGATGAAAGGAATGGCTGGAGTGCTGCAGTTATTACTTTCCATCAGTCAATACCTCACTGTTTGACAGATGAATGCTCCTGTGTTTAGAGATGAAACTGACATTGAATCAAAGGTTACTGAGGGCATCGGGTGACAGATGATACCCATGAGGAGGCAATCATAGAATTAATAGGAAGAGCAAGTGCTGGAGTGCTGGAGGATTGAGTGGTGAGAATGTTAGAGCAGAGAAAAGCCCTCTCTGTAGTTACCCTCTGCTTGCTCAGTGAGTGTAAGTGCTGCTTGCTCTTTTGTGGAATCCTATAGCTTAGTGGTTAGAGCAATAGCCTCGCAAAGCGAGAGGACCTGAGTTCAATTCCCAGCAGAGCGAAATGTTTCCTTACTCCACACGCCTCTGTTTACTTAGCAGTAAGTAGAACCCGAGAACTGTTAGTCGATGGGCAGGTTTCTTTTCGGGGGTAATAATTCCTTCAAAAAAAAATAATAATTTGGTCACTCAATCCACGACTGCTTGTGAGACGCTGCTGTGTGCAATTGACTGCCGCTTTTGCCCACCAAACATACAGTCAATTCACTTTACACTACATTCTGTGAAGTTCTTTGAGGTGACTCGAAGATGTGATAAGGCGCGATATCAAATGCAAGGATTATTATTATCATTATTATTATTATTATCAGCAGCCCTGAAAGGCAGTTTCAGAATGGATATTTGAGAACTTCCACTGACAGTGTGTCTGTCACCTGATGAAATCTGAAACATTGACCTGTATTTCTCTTTCCGGATGCTCTTCAACCTGCTCTGCATTTCCCATCACTTACTGTCTTTTTTTTGTATTTTATTTCACATTCACATCTGTTCATTCACATCTGAAGCAATGATATTAAATACCCATGAAGCAGTGAGGGCATGAAACCTCCCTACAGATGGGCTTATCTGAACTCATCACATAATTTACCATAGGTGGAGATTTGGGAAGCTCTCAGATGCACTGCTCTCTCCATTACCCCAAGCGAATAAGATACAAACAGACTTTAACATCCGGTATACCTGAGAGGTCCAGTAATGTATTGACCTGCAGAAATTCATCCCCATAGTGCTGTAGCTTTTCCCATTAATCCTTTATTAATAGGGCATTGTGCAGTTGTCACATGAAAATACAGGGGAATATGCCTTTTAACCAATGTGAGAATAAATCAAGGTTACATTTTATTATAATAGCACATGTGGCAATACTTATTTCAAAGAGGTCCTGGAATTGTCAGTCAGACGGCAGATCTTTGGCTAGATCGTCCTTTGTTTGGCACTTGACAGCTTTTCAAAGCACTTGGATTTGGTGTCGCTATTCAGAAATTGGGGGAACGGAAGATATTTTGAAATGCATTTTAACCTCAATCCTTAGATAAGGCATTACAGTTGCAATTTTTGACGTGCTGTGAGATGCTACATTAATGCAATATAATATGCAGCGCTATATAAACGCAAGTTGTTGCTGTTGCCTTTGACTGCTGTATTTTTACGGCAGGAGCAATAAAATATTTTGCATTTCACTGCTGAACAGTATGTTTTCCCTTTCTCTCTCTCTTTTTTACTCTTTTCCACTCGAACAACAACCAATGGCAAAATTCCTTGTTTGAAATGTTAATGGTGTTCAATTTACATTGACGAAGAACGTTTCACATCAAGAGGAAGTCTCAAAGTGCTTGACAATGCTGAAAGGGCATCTGATCTGGGGATGGGAGCCGAGGAGGGGAGAGATGACCGAAAGCGCGGTCAAACAAATACTTTTTTAGACATGCCTCGAATGAGGGGAGTGTGCGAGTTTGTCAGAGAGACTCCAAGATGGAGTTTCCAGAGATTGGGGGGCAGAATGGCTGAAAGCCTGCCCGCCAATGACAGTGTCAAATAGAGCGGGAGACACTATTCACTGAGAGAAGGTAATAATAATAATAATAATCCTTACATTTGATATAGCGCTTTTCACATCTTCTAGACGTCTCAAAGCGCTTCACAGAATATACTGTAAAGTGAATTGACTGTATATTTGTTGGTGTACGCGGGAGCCAATTGCGCACAGCAATGTCCCACAAACAGCCATGGATTGAAAATGACCAATTTATTATTGTTTTGTTTTGGAGGAATTATTATTCCTTCCTTCAACCACACCGACCCAAGGGAGCAGCTAGGGTCGGTGTGGTTGAAGGAAGTTGTAGAACATTTCGAATCTAATGGACGGATTTGAAATCTTCAAACATTATTATTTGTCAACTGGGCTAGGTCAGCTTCTGTGTCGAATGTGATGGGGTCATTCCTCATCATTGGGACTTGAGCTACAGTCAAGGCTGGTATACAGAGCAGTGTTTGATTGTCAGAGGTGCTGCCCTTCAGATGAGGCATGAAACCAAGATCCTGTCTGTTCTTCAGATTCTATTGAAACAGAAAATGCAGCATTTCCTTACCAACAATTCTTAAAATTGAATTTGTCATAAAATGCTACTTATGAGACTCTCCTGATGCAAATTGCTGCCACCGCATTTGACAGTAATTCCTTATGAAATGTTTTGATGCTACGATGATTCAAGTTCTTTCTTTTATGTACCATCACAAGGACTTCAACATGAATGGCTCTAGACAATAATAATAATAATCTTGGCATTTGATATAGCACCTTATCATGTCATCAAGACGTCTCAAAGCACTTCACAGAATATACTGTAAAGTGAATTGACTGTATATTTTATGGGCGAAACGCGGCAGCCAATTGCTCACATCAGCGTCCCACAAACAGTTGTGGATTGAATGATCAACTTATTATTATTTTTCAAATAATAGTAACAAAATCTAATAATAGAATCAACACTATTCATCTCAGGAAGTTTGTCCCCTTTGCTGGGACACAGGCAGCAAAGGAGCACTTAGGCTTTTATTTTCATCCAGTGCATTATTGGTACATTGAGGCCCAGTCAAGGTCATTTTGTCATCTGCTGGCTATTGAGTCGAGTGACGCAGGAAATCTATGCATTGTAATTTTAGTGATAATCACATGCATCTAAAGACCTTCTTCGGCAACCCGTCACAGTTTATTTTTAGGGTTTTTACTACCACAAGGAATATTTGTGTAATTGCTGCTAAGCATCAAATGTATATTGGGGAGCGCTATATATAAAACAACCCTCCAATAAATACTGGATAATGGTTTTAATTCCAGGTGAATTCACAACTCCACTGGGTTGTATAAACGTATCTGGGCTCAGCTGGAGTAAATAGAAAAAGATTGCACTTCAACAGATTACCCTGTCAGATGTTGCACATTTTATAGCCCAGAACTGCTTCTAATGAAGCCATAAAACCAGGAGCTAGTTTTGTACAAAGTCATTCTAAAAAATAGTTCATGAAAATCTGAGTGAATAACTGGGATTGCAGTTTAGAAGGCAATTTAATAAGTACAAAAGAGAATGAAATTACATCGGCTCATTGTTATAAATACCTGAGATCAAAACTGAGCACCACATCCTGAATTTAAAAAAATCCTCTGTAAAGAACAAGGTTAAAATGTGTGTTCAAAATCAACTGGCTTCTGAATAACAACGTGTACAAGCCCAGCTGAAAAAGGTCAAAGCGCTAATCATCTTGAATTCATACTTAACAGGGTTCATTATCAAACACTGAAAAATGTCCCATATAGGTTTACTCAGGAGATTCCAGTTTAAAAAGTTAACAGAATGAAGGAACAATGTTAAAATAGTTCGTAAGGACATAAGCATACTTCACTGACTTTGCGAAGTAACATCAGATAGTATTTACAATCAAAATATTGAAAACTCTTCCACCTAATCAATCCAATCGATATAATTTACAAACACAGACTGGTTTTCCACGCTACGTGTTAGAATTGCTTATGTGAAACGTTGCCACAAATGGCGTCATGTCGATGTTACATTGTATTTTTTCTCCCATTTTTGTTGTTGCACTTGCAGATCTGTGAGTGTGTTTAATGGAAAATTGAGCATGATGGCATGAAATGATGAACCCATGTTCCAAGCTGATAGATTCCATAACACATCAGTCCAAACCACGCAGCTCTGATTACAACGCCCAGGGTTTTACTGAGGAATGAAGGAGCAGGGACGCTGTAAAAGAGAAGGCATTGATGAATCTCTCACTTCTCTATCTAAAAAACTTTTATGGAGAGGTTCAGATTGGATATTTTTTTCCTTCCTGTGCTCTCCAAAAGGTTGTAGAATACTCATGGGGGGAGAATTCCACCCGGGTCTACATTTAATCTATTAATATTGCATTTCCGAGAGTCCAGATTTTGGCAAATTAGCCTTGGCTTTAAAATTAATTTTATATTAAGGAATAAGGAAAGCTCACTGCAAAGGTGAGAGTGAATTCAATAATTTGTCAACTTCTGGGGATGATATGAAACACTAGGGTAATAGAGTAAATCTAGACCCAAATTCAAGGATTATTTCTCCCCAACAGAACCAATTTCTGCATCTCTGATTTTTTGCAAAACAATGAAGTTTTTAAATGATTTTTGCACACAGAAATAAAGCAGAATTTCCATTCAGAATAAGTCGGATGGACACGCTACAATCGTATTCTGTGCACTTTCTAGCACTCTTCCCCAATCACATGTATCATAAAGGTGACCTTACACTGTTGGGTCCCCCCAATTTATATTCTCCTGGTATGGTATCGCCAACAGTAAACACTCAACATACTTTATCGTAAATCCTATGAAGAACTTTGAGATGTTCTGTCAATGTAGTATATTGCTGCATCAAATTCAAGGATTATTGGTAATAATAAACAATATATTAATCCTTACATTTGGTGTAGCACCTATCAGGAGGACGTCCCAAAGCGCTTCATAGGATATACTGTAAAGTGACTGTGTGTTTTGTAAGTGAATGTAGTATTATTATGGTGAGGAAGTGCTGCACCAAATTGATGAGTGAAGATTACCTCATTATTTCTTGGATATTTAATTCATTATTCCAGTTTTTCTCAATTCCAGACACGTGACACATTCCAACCACTCCTACTATGACCGATGGTACAAATACTGTGGATTCAGCTGTGAAAAACAAAGAAGAAATCATGGGATCACAGCAGGCAGCTTTGCCAGTTTGGAATAAAGTCAGTAGTATATATATATACATGTGAGGAAAACTATGAAGCTTATGTTTTCAATTATTGGTGGGTAAAATGTGGGATTTCCGATGGGATTCCTTAATAAGGAATTCTATTCAGAAATTCCACTCGAATCTGTCATTAAACCAAGATCTAATCTGCCTTTCTTACTTAGAAAGGAGTTCCAGTAGCAATCTCTCATTTTCTTGTCTCTCAAAAAACAATAGTAATTTGGTCACTCAATCCACGACTGTTTGTGGGACATTGCTGTGCACAATTGGCTGCCGCGTTTCGCCCACAAAATATACCGTCAATTAATTTTACAATATCTTCTGTGAGGTGCTTTGAGACGACTCAACAATGTGATAAGACTATATCAAATGCAAGGATTATTATTATTATTTTAGACCCTACTTGGCTTCATCTTGAACCTTATTAGACTATCGGGACCAAGGTTCCATAAAGTCAGGAAGAAAGCAAAGATAGCAAGATTCATCTAAACAGAGTCAACTGTGACACTCCATGAAAAAGGTTTTATTTGTCATTCAAAGTGAATAGCTGGAGATAGCTATGTCAGAAAAAAGCAGGTTTGCGGGGAGGAATAAAATGGTTGTTTAGATAACCTTTATCTTCTCCATTCATCCAGTGTTTTGGGAATTTATCCATAATTGTCTTAAAATCAGGTTTGTAAAATATATAATGCAAATCTTAAAGAATAAAAACAACATATTTCATATCCATAAAAATTGGAGCAGGTGAGAAGAAATCTTCTTCACTAAAGCGACAGTATCACGGTTAAAGGGGCATTTTTTAAAAATATATTGGACAAGCACAAGCACTTACAGATTATATAGATAGGTATTAGAGGTTATTGGGAAAGAGCAGAGATTTCCCAGGATATTAATCACTCCCCTACTAAAAAAAATGTGGTCACTCAATCCACGACTGTATATGGGACATTTGGGACATTGTCCGATCACCCACAAAATATACAGTCAATCCACTTTACAATATATTCTGTGAAGCGCTTTGACCTGCCTCGAAGACATGATAAGGCTCTATATCAAATGCAATTATTATTATACCAAATGCAAGGATTATTATTATTTTTGTTATAATTACTATCATAATTCGCACAGCACTGGTGTCGATATTCACCTCCAAATAAGTTGAACTTACATATTGAAGTTTGTGGCCGTTCGATGGGCTTTGCAGCCTGCCTGAGCATGTGAGTCAAATAGATATCCCGTTCAGTAATGAGAGTGTGGTAAAAAGAAGGCAAATGTTTACTTATACTCTTCTTCAGCTCCTCCAGAACGTCCCTTTGTTTCAACTTTTCCACAAACTCTTTCCTGGAAAATGTTTACAGAAACGTTATTTGGGAGTGGATTTCTTTGGAAATGAAAGGAGGATGGGATCAACAAGTAAGTGTTGCTAAAATAAAATATTTTCTATTCCCATTTAAGTGGTGTCCTTCAGCGAAACATTAAACTGAGGTCCCATCTTTGCCTTTTTAGGTGGATATTGATCCTGTGACACTATTCAAAAAGAGAAGGGAGTTTCTCCCGGTGTCCTGGCCAACAATCCCCCAAATAAAATTGGTCACCCACTTTTATGGGAGTCTGCTGTTGGCTAACAATTTGCCTACAAATACACAGTCACTACACTTTACAGTATACCTTGTGAACTACTTCTGACGTCCTCTCAAGACGAAAGGCGCTATATCAAATGTAAGGCTTATTAATTTGAAATACTTAGGGTCCCAATATTGATTGACTATCAAGCGATCCACGAATCATCTTTAGCAGAAAAGCATTTGCTTTGTTTCAAGGACATGCTACGATGAACGGCCTTTAAAGCACTAAATTCTTTTATATATCAAACTAATTCCAAGTGTCAATTATTTTTGCAATTTTTAGTTTATAAACATAGACATTCTCCTTTCAATATCTTTTTTACAATCATATATAAATATATTGATCATCAAAAGGTTCCCGGGAATGATCCTTGGTCAAACGTTAAATGCTAAACTCAGTATAGTTTGTTGTGTATGAAGAAAATAATGCAAACTCTGAACTTACTTTAATAGTTTCTTCTGGGTCCCAGTACTATTCTGCTGAGAGTCCCACCTGGAAGGGCAAGAAGCAAGAAAGATAAGGACCAATGGATTAGAGATAGACTCTGTATTTACAATATGAAAAACATAAGTCTTAGTTCTACTTGAAAAAGTAAAGCGAAGGCTTAATCGATTATTCATAATAATAATAATCTTTGCATTTGATATTGCAACTTATCACATTGCCGAAATGTCTCAAAGCGCTTTCTAGGATATACTGTTTGTGGGTGAACGGAATTGATTATTGATTATTCACAGCTAGTGAAAGCATATATAGGAGTCTTGGTAAGTATCTTGTTCTGGATAAATCACAAATAGATTTAGTGAAGTTCAGCAGATCTACTGCAATATATGATATAGGACTAGGTTCAATTTCCGGGTGGGGCAGGTTAGGGCAAAACCTTAGGCAAGTTTCCTTACTCGACACACATGCCTCTGTTTACCTAGCAGTAAGTAGGAATCCAGATGTTAGTCGATTGGCGGATCAGTATCTGGGGGTAATAATCCCTCCAAAAAAGAACAATCATAATAATAATAATGTGGTCACTCAATCCATGACTGTTTGTGGGATACTGCTGTATGCAATTGGCTGCCACATTTCACCCACAAAATACATAATCACTACACTTTACAGTAAATGCTGTGAAGCGCTTTGAGACGTCTCGAAGACGTGATAAGGCGCTGTATCAAATGCAAGGATTATTATTATATATATTATTATATGGAGCTTTCTGTGTAGAGATTTCCTCTATCCCAAAGGACAGGAATTATTTTATCTTACAGTGCCTTCAACATATGCAAGATTCAATTTATTGTTTCTAACTCAGCAAGTTTTGAGTTATGCTTCATTACTACAATTATATTTCAGTCTCTGAATACGGACCCAACGCTATTGAACCCTTTCACAATTGTGTTTTTTTTATATATGTGTAAGATAACAATCTACCCAGCTCATAAAGAGTCCAGTATAAAAGTATACACGGCCTTTTCAATGGTTGTGATAAACTTCATAATATTATTACAAGATCACGATCACAGGATTAATTTGATTGAAAAAGCCCTTCAGCCAATCTGATCTCTTCGCTGCAGAACATCCACCCCGCAGTCAGTCCAATTAGTCCACACTGATGTTTATATTCCACTTGAGTATGATGTTTAATTATAATGTATTTCACAAAATATCACAGCAACAAGCTACTTTTTAGGAGACCAATGCTTTGGTCTCAACCACCCTTCCTGGCAACTTATTCTAGTTGTTAATTCCCCCAAATAACTGCGTAAAATAAAAAAATACTAATTTGCAAGCTTAATAGAGTGTTTAATATTCAATGTATCCAACAAAGCAATATGTCAAGCATATTGTATATATAAATATAATTTATATTTTTGCACGATTTTACATTGCTCTGCACCGATAGAATCACCTTTCAGAATGTGAAGCTGCGCTTAGAAAGTAGGTAATGTTGCTGAGATAATGAACAGAACAGCTGAATTTCCTGATTTAAGGTCACGACAATGTTCAAAGCACAGATAAACATCTTTCCACTACACCACATCATGACATGTGTGCAATGAACAGACAAAGACACAATATATGGCAGATAAACTCCCCTAACCAAATAGAAGTGTCTATTGAAAAAGTAATTGTTTTTTTTGTTGGGGTGGGGTTGCACAATGTTTCAGGGCAAACTATCACAGCACTGAAATGTAGAACTTGAATGTAACATCCCTGAAGAATGCTGACGAGTTTTACCCATACCTGTTTTTCGTGATAATAAAGAAAAGGCTCATGAAACCAAAGCCAAGTTTAGCAATTTCCTGAAGGGAAAGCCCAGCGACAATTCTCTTAAAGGTGATAAAGATAGGTCTGTCAGCCAGGTGCAGTTTACAAAATGGCACTTTTTTTGCCTGAAAGAGAGATATTTCAACAAATGACACAGAATTACATAACAACAAAAAATTGCATTTATATAGTGCTTTTCACATCGGGGGGACATAGAGAGGTGCAGCACAGAAATAGGAGATTTTTGCCCAATTAGGACCGCACTGATGTTTATGCTCCACTTGAGTTTGATGTTTAATTATAACGTATTTAACAAAATATCTGATAATCAAAGAAACTTACAGGACATAAACAGGCATTTTGACCCTTCAAATCTGCACTGGTATTTTGTCACATTATGAGCCATCTACAACAACAACAACAACTTCCACTTACATAGTGCCCTCCACGCAGGCTAGCGGCTCAGAGCGCTTCACAGTGGCGGAGCCTGACTCCGAGCCGGGGGGAGGGGGTAAGGTGGCCCTAAGCACGGTCGAAGAGGAAGGTTTTCAGGCGGGACTTGAAAATGGGGAGAGAGGGGGCAAGGAGGAGGGATTGAGGGAGAGGATTCCAGAGTTTCGGGGCGTAGTGACTGAAAGCGCGACCTCCAATGGTGGGGTGCGGGATGCGAGGGACGAGCAGGAGGCTGGTGCCAGTCGAGCGGAGGCGCCAGGTGGTGGACTGGGGAGTGAGGAGGTTGGAGAGGGAGGGAGGGAGGTGCCAGGGAGTGAAGGGATCTAATCCCACTATCCTCTTCATAACCCACCATCTTTAATACTTTTCATTTTCGAACATCTGTTTAATTCCCATTTTAATAGAATTTATAGACTCTGCCTCACCAGAGGCTGAACAAAAATTGGTGACCTCTCTGTCTTTGTTACTAATCACCCTGATGGAAGGGAAACATAAATATTCTAAAGTTATATCCTTGCAACTAATATAAAGCCATCTTATGTCAAAACATCTCAAAGCAGTGCGCAGAGTTTCCTTTAAAGTGAGTGACTTACTTTTTATTTGCAGGCAAGCGCAGTAAGCAATTTTCCCGTATCAATGTCCCACAAACAGCCATAAAGTGAACAGTCCATTTTATCTGGAGGACTACTGGGCAGGACATCAAAAAATAATACTTTCCTCTCCTTTTGATAATGGCCTGGAGTCTTTAAAGTCATATCAACAACCAGACAGGACTTTGGTTTAGCATCTCATCCAAAGGATGGCACTTCCTCCAGCACCTTATTGAAGAAGATGTTGAGTTCAAAGCTCGGATAAGGAAGTTTGAACCCACATCCTTCTGACTCGGAGGCTAGAGTCAAATGTCTTTCCCATTCAGAGCCAGTAGCAAGCAATGTTAGGAAAGGTGCAATAAATTTCCGTAACTTTATCCTTCAATGTAGTAATAAATTATTATTATACATTAATATTCCAAGATCAGAAGATACTACAAAAAATAACCTTAATGTTAAAGATTTCTGTCTGTTGTATACTAGGCAAAGTAATGTAGTTGGAAACCATTGTTTTGGAATAGCTTGGTAACATTTATTATTAAAGCCTGATTCTTAATGACTTTTCTGCATGAATGACAGATACCCTATTTCTAAACCAGCAAGCATTAATATACTGTATATCAAAATAGTTCTTATTCAGAAGATATCAAATTAATCAATTTAGCTCTCTGAAAATGACTCAAATGATTTTGGCTATAAAGCCAATTGTTTACACTGAAGACAGTCTCCAAGCAATTTTAGGATCACCGCAGTATCCTCATCCATCTGCATTTAATCATTTTCTGGTCTGGAGTTTTACGGTGGCTTTCTTTTTCCAATAATTGGCAGAGGGAACACGATAGCATAAGTTCAGCCTCTTAATAAATCAAATTAAATAAAGGACTGTTTCCAATCATGGAGACAAAAATGGAAACATAAGCTAACTTTTATATCTTTTGAAATATCTTTTAACCACTTCAGAAAGTATGAGCAAGTATTCTGTGTGCCAAAATACCACCCATTCCTACAAAGATGTACATCAGTATTTGACCTTAACAAGTCAGGTAAGGGCATCAGGATTACGATGCTCTGCGCCCAGTGCTCCTACCTCCTTGAATGCGGCTCTCATCTCTCCTCCTGGAAACATTCCCAGCTCTTCTACAACAAAGTTGACTCCCATAATGAACAGGAACTCCAACAACCCCACCTTAACACCCACCTAGTCAATACGTTGAAAGAAAAACACAGTGATTTGCAAGAGTGCCTGCACTTGAAATGAATTACAATACAATACAATATTACATTTGTAAAGCGCCTTTCATGTTGGGAGGACGTCCCGAGGAGCCGGACAGTCAGGTGTTTGGACTTGAGCCGTGGGGTCGGAATCGGGGAATGTGGAGGCCAAGGAGGGTAGGAGGGTGGCCGAAGGCTCGTTGAAGAGGAGGGTATTGAGACGCACCTTGAAGGAGGAAAGGGAGGGAGCAAGGCAAAGGGAACGTGAAATGACGTTCCATAGAGTGGGGACAGAAAGGCTGAAGGCCTGACTGCCGATGGTGGGGTGGGCCGGGCGGGGGACTTGGAGTAGGCCACAGCCTGCTGAGTGGAGGGAGTGGACAGGTTGATATGGACATGGAGTCAGCAGGTCCCAGAGGTAGGGAGGGGCAAAGCCGTGGAGGGCTTTGAAGGTGAGGATGAGGATTTTGAACTCTATCCTTTGGGGGATGGGGAGCCAGAGGAGCCGAGCGAGGGTGGGAGTAAATGACAAATTATTTTCCTATAAGTTCTATTTAAAATGTTTGTTGTTACAAATAAATTACATCTTTATTATTTCTTCTGACTAGAAAAAACTCCATGACTGCTAGGGTGTGCAAACAATGTCAATGAGGATATTTGGAAATGTCACTCAAGTAGGTATCATGTCCGGTTGGCAACATACAAAACTTCACCACCTCTGCTTCATGATACAAAAAGAAGAAATACAGGAAAGAGTGAATACAATACATTATAATAATCCTTGTGTTTGATATAGTGCCTTATCACAACTTGAGAAGTCTCAACGTGCTTCACAGAATACAACTGTAAAGTAAATTGATTGTATATTTTGTGGGCAAAATATTCACCTGCAGTATCTAGGGTACCAATCACATCTTCAGCTATCTATAGAACATATGTCCTGCCAATTGCAATCATCTTGCTCTGTTTTTCCTTTGATTCTCCCCCAAGGCTTTGTTTCTTTTTTCATCCCCTTCACCTGTCTGGTACTGTGCCCTTCCTCCATCTGCTCTGTGCCTGCTCTATCTGCATCAAAGTCACAGCTCTCTTCGTCTTTCTTGCTAACACGGCCAACTCTTCAATGAGTCGTGTCACCTTTCTTGCCCTGATATGAATCAAAGTCTGAACAGTATTTTCCATTTCTCACACTATTTGTGTGCTCTCTCTGAATCAGTTGTCCAACTTAAAGCTACATTAACTGCACAATAAAAAGATGGTTCACAGCTTTTTATTGTGCTTTGTCTGGATAGGACTGCCCTACTGACAGAGACTGGCTTGCAGTGTTCGCAACATCATATACATCCAAACCAACCATCAATAATACCATGGATTACTGTGGATCTCCTTGGAGAATGTTGAATCCTGGGGAAACCTTGCTTACCGCTGTCCAAAGGAGATTGTTTTTTAGACAAGGTACATATTTTAACAAAGCCAAGAGGCTGAAAAATTGAGAGAAAACAATAGAATTCAAATTCAGATCCAAGGCTTATTTGACTGACTAGAACAACAACAACAACAAGATTCCATTTATAGAGCGCCTTTCACGTCGGGAGGACGTCCCAAGGCGCTGTACAGTTCGGTCAGGACCCGAGCAAGGGGGAAATGGTCAGGGTGAGGGAAGGGAGGGAGCGAGGAGGGGGTAGAGAGTCGAGAGGGGAGCTGAAGGCACGGTCAAAGAGAAAGGTCTTGAGACCGGCCTTGAAGGAGGAAAGGGAGGAGGCGGCGAAGGCACTGGGGGATAGAGTTCCAGAGCCGAGGGGCTGAGAGGCTGAAGGCCCGGCCACCGATGGTAGGGCGGTTGGGGCGGGGGATGTGGAGCAGACCGGAGCCAGAGGAACGGAGGGTACGGGCAGGTAGGTAGGGGGATAGTATGTATGTAGTTCAATCTCATCAGGGTGGATTGGATTCAATCCTAGGCCATAACTAGAGCATTGGTCTTCAAACACACTGTTCTACCAAGTCCATCAAATGCACTAGTCTTTTATGTCTTAATATATTTTAGTCATTAAAGAATACAAGGTTTTGGTAACAGTGTACAACACTGGAATTCCGTGGGGTCTTGCGTTATCACCACAAAGCACCAGATTTTGGCTCAGAAATGAAATAGAAACCTGCACCTCCTTTATTTTCCTTAGCAGCAGTTGTAGGTTCACGGTTTCCATCGCCTCCATCAGTTTCTGCTCATCCCAATGCAGCAATGAAACTCTGCTATTACAGAGTTCCAAAATGACCGAGTCTGGCTGCAGTTGTTGGATAGTCTGCAAGAAAAAAAAACAATCCTTTCTATGATGCATCATCAATCAAATAAAACCAATGTATGCTTCTTTTATCTTTTATATAGGAACAGTGGAGCCTCCCTCTAATATTCTCTTTTGAACTATAAGGGTTAGAGATAATAGATATCATACTTTCTCTCCTTAAAGAAAAAGTCAGAACAATGCAAACTATAGGAAAGGCGATGCTTTGTCCACTGTTTTCAAGACGTTTCGTGGGTCAGTGTCATACACAAGAGGATCTCTGGAGGAGCTGCAATTTATTCCCACAGGTACCTTTTCTAGTGCAAGCACCATTTACGCTCCTGTTTTCCTGTTGAATGCTTGTTAGTTCCCATTGCTGCAGATATACCAGGGCAGTATAACTCTACAATGCACTAAATGATTAAGTGTGCAATTGTACCAATAATGTTCCATCTTCTCTCTTCACAGAACAAAGAGAACTCAGTGGAGTTTTTGTCACTTCAGAGGAGCAGCCCACACCTGAACAAGAACCATCATCTACGCTGACAATCGAATGCGGTGCTGACCCAACGCTTCATTGTCAGAGGTGCTATCCATCGAGTTAGATGCACCTCTGACAATGACAATTAACCTCCTTAAAGAGGAAGAGGTTAATTTGAAGAGGTTAATGATCCCATGGCATTACTCATAAAAGTTTATGAGTTTACGCCATTGCTCTAGCCAACTTTTCTCATTCCAACTAGCCATCTCTAGCCACCATGAGAAGCCCTTACCTCAAATGTAAGGATCATCATTATTATAACCACTACTTAGGTCTGTGGGACGCTGCTGCGTGCAATTGGCTGCTGCGTTTTGCCCACAAAATATACAGTCAATTCGTTTTACAGTATATTCTGTGAAGCGCTTTACGACGTCTCGAAGACATGATAAAGCGCTATATCAAAAGCAAGGATTATTTTTATTATTATTTATTATTGTGCTGTTGCTTGTTTAAAACAAAACAGATCCATGTACTTGGGGAAAATTTAGATACGACTGAGAAATCAGTTCATAACATGTAAATTTACTGATGTTTGAAGAATTGTCATCTCGGTCTGCTGTGGAACAATCCTGGATTACCTGCTTTACATCTCTTATGCTCTTCTTACTGACATGTGCAGTGCCAACTAAGTAGACTTTGCAGCCTTCTTCAGTGACGAGTTCAGTCACAGACTTTGGTAGTTTAGGTATCATCTTTCTCTTCCAAATCTTCACTGCCCATAGGAGGTCAAATACTTCTACATAGGCTGCAGATTGAAACAAAAATTACAGATTTATCACAGATAATGGCAACAAAAATTTCAACTGCATCAAAACTCTTCTTAAAACGGTATAATTTTAATTTTAAAAAAAAGGAAAACAAAATTTAGAAAGATTGGATCAAAGTGGAAAATATTACAGGTAATACACCAGGAATGGTATGTTGACATACCATAGAATTATCGTTTCACTTTGCAAGCACTTCCTGTACTGGGAAATTAAATCATCGCCCTAAATTGAGCTACAGGGGAATTTCCGATTGTTGATTTCTGTTTCAAACCACTGGATGCCTTTGCAAGATATCAGTAATGCAATTTCAAACAAAATACAAGCAATGGTTGCAACTAAAACAGGCATGACATGACCAACACGGGACATGTGTTAGAATATAATTTTCCCGATATCTCACTGAGTGAGACAAGCACATTGCCTGGAGCAGCAGGAGGCTTGGCTGTGATTACATTTCTTTCGCCGAGTAAGCCAGTTATCATTGACTGTCCAGAATCGTACATGAAGAATAGCCATTAGGGTGAGGGACTAGAGGGCTGAGGGTTCCAAGTGCATCACAGAATATACCGTAAAGCCAGTTGACCGTACATTTTGTGGACAAAACGCGTTCAGCAGTGTCCCACAAACAACAACAACAACAAGATTCCATTTATAAAGCGCCTTTCACGTCAGGAAGACGTCCCAAGGCGCTGCACAGTTGGGTCATGACCCGAGCAGGGGGGAAATGGTCAGGGTGAGGGGAGGGAAGGGAGGGAGCGAGGAGGGGGGAAATGGTCAGGGGAGGGGAGGGAAGGGAGGGATCGAGGAGGGGAAGAGAGTCGAGAGGGGAGCTGAAGGCTCGGTCAAGGAGAAAGGTTTTGAGACCGGCCTTGAAGGAGGAGAGGGAGGAAGCAAGGCGAAGGCACTGGGGGATAGAGTTCCAGAGCCTCGGATTGAGTCGTGGATTGAGTGACCAGACTCTTATCAGATATATATTTTGAATGGATTATTACTCCCGGAAAACCAATCCACCAATCGACTGACAACCGGGTTCCTACTTACTGTTAGGTAAACAGAGGTACGTGTGTGGAGTAAGGAAATTTGCCCAACGTTTCGCCCTGCCCGGGAATCAAACCCAAGTCCTCAGCTGTTACTAAGTTCAGCACAAGTACAAGAAGCTGTAACCACTGTAGAATTAGAGCATTTTCCAATGTTCAATTTATTATTGAAATAAACATACTTATTTGTTTGAAAGTGTCTGAAGCACTCCACCTCTGTCTTGTTTTCTGTTGAGAATAAAAAAATTGTCAACAACAAGATCTTCTGGAAGAACACTGAGGTCCTTTATTTGACTTCATGTAAAACATTCACCCACAATACATATGCCTGGACAAACCATCTTTGCTAAGTGGCCCAGATCAGAAAACCAGAGTATTTGGGTCTTTTAGTGGCTAGAAGTGTAACTTGGACACATGACCCTGGTTCCCATAGACCTGTGGACTTCATTCTCAGAGACAACCAAACATAACCTTACAGGGAACGTTCTACCTGTCTCTTCTGATATTTTCCTGATATCTCACTGAGTGAGACAAGCACATTGCCTAGTGCAGCACGAGGCTTGGCTGTGATTACACTTCTTTCCCTGAATAAGCCAGTCATCATTGACTGACCAGAATTGTCCATAAAGAATAGCTGTTGAACATTTCCTCTTTGAATCACCCCAAGCACTCCACCATAATGCACACTTCTGACTTAAGAATTTCAGTTACTGTTTCATATCATGGAAAGTTTAGGATAGTTTTGTAACTCTTTCAGATATAGCGATAGTCTGTCCATGTACAGTGAGCTTCTCTTTCACAGGTACTGTTATTTATTGTTATAAACTCTTTCAATTTAGCACCCTGGTACTATGTTAAACATTAAACAGAAGGCAGCTCGCTGATAAAGTTGTGGCTGTGCTGCTTTACAAAGATTACTTATTCCCAGCCTACTTTGATAATTCTTCAAAACCAGTCAGGTATGGATAATGGTGTGTCTAGACGGATCCTCCAACTGAGAATCAATTGTCAAAACCAACCTTTGTCATCATTAATAAGAATTGTTGATTAGATTTGTGCTGTGGTTTTCAGGCACTAAAACCTACCTTAGACCTTGGAATAATTAATAGCTATTTTGTCCCTTCATAATCATTCAACACAAAAATATCCAAACAAGCAATAGAGCAGAAACAACTCAAGGGACTGTACAAGGCAATTTTGAAACACTACAGTGCTTTTTTATTAAATGCTATTTCTCCCTGATTCTACCTCCAAGTGACAAATATAAATTTGTATCATACTCTGTATTGATTTTCAGTATTTGGTTAATTCGTTCCAAAGACTTAAGCAGGTATCATTATTGTCTTAATATGGTGAAGAATGCAAAGTTTCAAAACACATTCAATGTCATTATTTCTTCTGAAACATTGCACCAAAGCAGGATACACTGTGCATCGAAAAAATTCTCCCAAAATTGAACAAATTTAAAGCACCTAAATTCCTAAAGAGTATAAAATCAAAAACCTGCAAGCCTACTTATGTGGCAACTTATTAAGGGGAGAAATTTAGAGTAACCTGGGTCTAGAGTTACTCTAAATATGCAGCATTTTTTAAAGAGTGTCTAGAATTTGGCAAGTGGTTGAATTCAGTCTTAGTTTGGAGGTCGTTTCCTGTTGTTCTTCAAAGAAAAGAAAACCTGCTACAAAATTCAGGCCCCTTGGTTTAACTTCTCAACCGAAGGGTGGCACCTCCGGCAATACATCACACTCCTAGCACTACATTGAAGTGTCAGCATAAACCAAATCAGTTCTAATTCCTGATGTGGGGCTTGAACCCAAAACCTTCTGATTCATAGGCAAGAATACTACCAACTGAGCCAGACTGACGCACATTAATGCCGATTGGTTAGGAATGTAACTTTAAACCACATACAGGATGAGGTAGTCCAACCTACACTCTGGACTATCCTGGTGAAATCAAAGCCATTTAGAGTCCTGTGACTAAGTGGTTAGAGAACTCGCTTTGTATGTCAGAGGGTTATGTCATGGTTTTGATTCGTGGCAGGGTGAAATGTTGGGCAAGTTTCCTTACTCCAAACGCCTGTTTGCCTAGCAATAAGTAGGGACCCAGTTGTTAGTTAATTGGCGGATCGCTTTTCTGGGGGTAATAATTCCTTTAAAATAAATAAAAATAATTTGGTCACTCAATCTACGACTGTTTGTGGGACACTGGTGCAGATTGGCTGCTGCGTTTCGCCCACAAAATGTACAGTCAATTCACTTTATAGTATATTCTGTGAAACACTTTGAGATGTCTTGAAGATGTGATAAGGCGCTATATTAAAATGCAAGGATTATGATTATTATTATTATTTGCCAGTTAATGGGGGGAGATTATGGTATGTATGTGTGTATCTCCTCCCTTATTTTCTTTTGCACAGTACAGTAATGGTACAGGTGCAAGAAGATTGGAGGGAAAATTTTAAATGCAAAATTAATCAGCTTAATAAAAAGAAGTTCAAATAAAACAAACTTGCCTTTCTCTTTTTCCTTCCTGAGAGAATTCTGTAACCCTGAAAAACAAAAAAATTGACAAAGCCTCAGCTGTGTTATGACTGTAACTGAAGGCCCACATTAATAATAGTGCAATTATACTATATGTGCTGATTTGCTGCCAGTGCCATTTTTAGAATGGTGCAAACAGACAGCAAGTGCAGTGTTATACAACCTCCTCCCGCTGCTCTCCATTGAGTCAAATGTTGGCAGAGGTCTCACTCCCGCTGTCAGTGAATTTGATTTATTTTGCCAATTTTTTCCCTTCTTCGTCACACGTGAAGTCATTTGGCTTCTTCCTTTCCCTAAGATACTGTTTCAAGGTCTCTCTCTGGTACGTTGCCAACTCTGATACTTTGCCACATATCTATTATTCATCCATGAGCCTTGTCTGTGTACTATTTAACCATGAGGGAGGGAGGGACGGTGGCATCACAGTTCAGCCTAATCTTATCATCGCATGATGTGAAAGGAGGCATAGAGAGCGTGTATCCTCCACAGGCACACTTCCACTGAGAACAGCTGGTGAGTGAATACTCAACACTCCCCACACAGCAATTTCTACATTTCTGCCAAGCTATTGAGGAAGGCATAGAGCAAAGAGCATGTTTCCTCCGCAGGTACCAGAAGGAAAATCAAAGGTTAAGCCACCCCCGTCTGCTCTCATACGTCTCCATATGGCCAATCATTTGAAGCATTGAAAGAAGCCAAGCACTAAACCAAATTAATTCTGCTGCACAAAATTTCACAATGTATGTTGGGAATGGGGCTTTGGTTAAAAGCATTATTATAATCCTTGATATCGCGCTTTATCGCACCATCAGGACATCTCTCATCACTTCACATGATTTTTACCGTGAAGAGTTATGACTTGTACTTGTGGGCAAATTGCCATCTGTGGCCTTGGCCTTCAAAATACATTCACTGAAATTTACAGCAAATGTGAAGATTTTTGAGACTTCCTCCTTATGTGAAAGGCACTATATTAAATGCAAGATTTATTATTTATATTATAAGTGAGGTCATGAAATAAACAGTCTTATCTGACTGTAATTACAAAAGGTATCAATCATACCTCCTCCACCACCCATTTGATAACCCTCCCTACCTTGTTGTGTTGATTTCGCAGCATCACTGAATTTATTTTCTTTTATCAGATAGATGGGGTTCTGTATGAAAAATAACAAATGAAGTTAAGCAGATTGATGGAAAACCCACTTCACACAAAACTGGCCATATTTCACAACTCATTGGGTAGCTTAATCATCACATGAAACTCATAAAACACAACTGAATTTGGCCTAATGACTGATTAAAAATACATTGTTTGCAGCCTTGTTTTGGGATAACTATAAACTTTTGTATGCTTCAGTGTCAAATAAAAGTATTGGAGCAATTCCGGATACATTGAATTACTGTATAATAATAATAACAATCTTTACATTTGATATTGTACCTTTCACTTCAAAACAACAGCTCAAAGTGCTTCACAGAATTTACTGTGAAGTGCAGTGGCTATATTTTGAAGGCAAACACAGTAGTCAATTTGTGCCTAGCAAGATCCCATAAACGTTTCTGGAGGGGTTGTTGTCCAGGACACCAGGAGAAAATCCATCAATCCCTCAGATCAAATTGAGGAGTAGAAGTAGAAAGAGAAAGATTGGGCTGGTGCCACCTTGTTACTATTCAATGCTTTAAAGCAGGTTTCGTTTGTGACACCAAACACTGCGAATTGCATGGATAATTAACGTCAGTCTCTAATTAAGGAAAACTACAAGTTATTACTGCTTGATCAAGGTAAAAAAATTCACTTTGATAAAGAATTGACCAAATGTTTGTGTTTAAACTCAGCATGATTATTACCCCTCAAACCAGGACAGTGCAGTTTATGGCACAGCCAACATTGCTGGGGCACTTTCAACCATGTCACAGTTTCATCAATCAAGTTTACAGGAATGATCAGAAAACAATAGAAAATCTATGTCAACATTTATGATTTAGTTTCAATCCAAGCTGTTTGTTTCACTTCTGGATTCAGTGAAAAACTGGTTTCTGTTCAACTTTCCTCATGATAATTCCTTGACTTTCTTGCATATCAGACTGCTTGTACGTCTTGTACATTTTGTTTTGGGGGAATAATAATAATCCTTACATTTGATATACCGCATTATCATGTCTTTGAGCGCTTCACGGAATATAGTGTAAAGTGTAGTGACTGCATATTTTTTGGGTGAAACGCAGCAGCCAATTGCACACAGCAATAATTCTCACCTTGATCAACGGGTGTAGCTGATTTTCTGCAATTCTCTTCCCAAAAGCGGAAATGTTACCAAAAATCAAATAATAATCCTTGCATTTGATATAGCACTTTTCACGTCTTCTAGACGTCTCAAAGCGCTTTACAGAATAGATGAATAGATTGTAAAGTGAATTGAATGCATATTTGTGGGCGAAACACAGCAGCCAATTGCGCACAGCAGTGTCCCACAAATAGTCGTGGATTGAAGTGACCAATCTATCATTGTTTTTTTTAGAGGGATTATTATCAGGCGTGTGGAGTAAGGAAACTTGTCCAAGGTTTCACCCTGCCGGGAATCGAACCCAGGTCGCTCGCGAGTGCTCTAACCACTGAGCTACAGGACTTTAGTGCTCTGTTGTGCAATTCATAGTGAGAAACGGGATTTATATTTTCCAAATTATTCTCGCTAGTGGCTAAGGGCAGCTTGTCAATCAAACCCTTACATTGCGTTCCCCTCCCTGAACAACATAAGATTTTATTAGTGTTCAAGAGAAGAAATTATCAAGTGGCCAGCTCTTCAAATAACACTAAAACTGGTTCTTTAAAAGTTCAAGTGCTTTTAAGTAACTAAACATTTGTGGAAACTAAATTCATTCAAATTGTTTCAATTTTGTTTGACTACAAATACAGTTGCTATTCGCTATACTTTGCAGTAAATCTTGTGAAGCACTTTGAGACAAATAGATTAGGTGCTTTGTCAAATGCAAGGATTATTATTACTTATACTGATGCTCCATTTGTTTAATTGATATCCTGGACTACCCACCTAATCCATGTGATTTCATAGTCCAATAGTTTTATCTTCCACTGGGTGTGCATTGCAAGTCAATAGATTTTTCACAGTGAATTTGCACAAAACAACACATCATAAACTGATCATGATGTTTTCTGCTATTGAGAAATGGAAAGGGAAACAAGTATATTGGAAACTTTTGACACTCCCTTTCAATAACATGGCAAGTGGGGATTACCAGTCTAAACTTCAGATCACAAGACTGATCAGAAAATAATCTTCCCTTTTCTACCCTTTGCTGTAGAGCTAGTTTACCAGCAAACTACAGTATACACAAATTTAAGGTCAATTTTGCGAATTTAGCATCAACCATTTAAGGGTTACACCAATAGGGCTTGCCTTTAACCAGTGGAATGAATTAGTTAATAAACAAAAGGGTGACAAATGTGGTATGTGATGCAATAATTATCACAAGCAATATTGTTTTGGGAGATAACCATACAATCTAATCCAAACCTGTTTTTAAGTAATAATCAACATGTTTCTGAGTGAACATTCCAGCCCTTTCCCTCTTCCACTGACCCACTTCAGTACAATGATTTGGACTGAAGCCAATTTCTGCAGACTGACAATTTGTCCTCTTTCCCTCTCTCGCGCGCTCTCTCACAAAAGGAAATGCAGGCTTGAGAACATGTCAAGGTGTGTGTAGCAATATCATGGCCTGATGCCTCTTTGTTTACCAATCTATCAATTTATCTATCTTGCACTCGCCCCGCAAGCAAGAAGACCTGTGGAGTCCTGTAGCTTAGTGGTTAGAGCACTCGCCTCACAAGCGAGACAACCCTGGTTTGATTCCCGGGCAGGGCGAAACATTGGGCAAGTTTCCTTACTTCATACGCCTCTGTTTACCGAGCAGTAAGTAGGAACCCGGGTGTTAGTCAATTGGCAGATCGCTTTGCTGGGGTAAAAATCCCTTCAAAGAAAGAATAATAAAAATTTGGTAACTCAATCCACGACTGTTTGTGGGACACTGCTGTGCGCAATTAGCTGCCGCGTTTCGCCCACAAAATATACAGTCAATCCATTTTACTGTATATTCTGGGACATGCTTTGAGATGTATCGAAGATGTGATAAGGCGCTATATCAAATGCAAGGATGATTATTATTATTATTGGTCATTGGTTAGTTGCCACCCATAATTATTATTTGTCAGTCCAGTTGCATGGAATATCAGCCAAAATATGATGGAGATACACTAGTGTCCAATGTGATACTACATTTTTCTGCCATATAATGCTGATCTCAGAAGTACCTGACTGAGATCATTAACTTACAAGCATCAAGCAACTTGTTCTCTGTTTTGTAAAGCAGCTTTACGTCTGCTCATGAAATAGGAAAGGATTGAAAATGACAATATGCAACATTTCATAACATGAATAAATGGCCCAAAAATATAACCGTAAAACATAAAAGTAAAAACAGTATTTGAATATTACATTTGCAATGTTTCGAGCAATGGAATGTACATGAAGAAATGCCTTTGGCTCCATAACGTTTTAGGGATATCTTCAGCAGGTTTGCAAACTATTTAAAATAATAAATAAAATGAATATCCCATCTTTCTCGCCAGTATAAGTCCAAATACTGTAAGGTTGATAAGATTATACTGTATTATACAAGGTGATATACTTAGCAACAGAATGTCAAAATTGAATCAATCCTTTATGGTGGTATTGGAGTTTTGGTAACCCTGTTCCTGAGCCAGACAGGTTAACAGTACTCCGGGGCAATGCTGATGGTAGTTCTGCCAGCCTATTTCCATGTGCATCTGGCATTACACAGAATTCTCAGTTTGGTTTGAATACCTCTAAGCATGGTAATGTGTTTCCACATGTGTCAGACACCGGACTGACCAAAAAAACTCAACACGCCAAGGTTAATAAGTTTGCCAGAACAGCAGAACATGCAACACATTTACCCAACAAAGCTGGCAGACTCTCTAATTGTAGTATTTCTGCCTTCGTCCTTCGTCAAGTCTCTGAATTCACCTTGTAACCATTTCTTGTAAAATGAAAATAAATAAGGACTTACAGTACTTCGAAATGTCCTGCTTCTTCACTTACACCTGAATGAAAAGTGAATGATTTCTGTAGAAAACTACAGTGAAAATGAAACCAAAAGGAATTGTTTAATTTGACTTCCTGTCACTGATAGATAAACAAGTACGGTTTCTGAGCTAGTTAACCCTTACTGGATCACAGTGGTATTTCTGAATAATAAAGCATTAGTTTCTTGACTTTCTTCCTAAAGATTGCAGAACATGTTGATGTGGTGAAAATGATATGTGCATTTCATAATCTGTGATATATGTAAGTTTATTTTTCTTTCTTTGCTGGTACATTAGTGCTGATGTGTTCAATCACTGTCCTAATGAGCTCTTGATTTTCAATCCCATTTCTGAGGGATTTCTTCAAACCTTCAAAATGTTTCCTTAGAATCTTTTGAAAGCATTGCTTTGAAAGTTCAGACCAAGTTCTGTTACATTGGAGTTTTATTTATGATATTCACAAACCAGATTTGTTGTGTTAATTGTAATTTCCAGTTTCCAGCGTACAATTTGCGAAATCCATGGGGGAAAAATGCAAAGCAGAAATTGCAGTTATCACAGTGAAGGTAGTTTGCACTGTCATTCTCTTCCAGTGTCTTCTTTGCATAGCTATAATTATAAACACAATATCATTCTATATTGATATAAACTATGAACTCAAGTGGTCACACTGGGGCTTGAACCAATTCCATCACAGAAGTGAAAATGTTACCACTGAACCAAGCTGATTCTTCTACATTTTAAATTTAAATGTAAGTAAGAGTTAAGCGACTCGTAAACCCTAATTGTTAAACCATCAGTGACAGGAAGTCAATTGGCTGCCGCATTTCACCCACAAAATACACAATGAATCCACTCTACAATATATTTTGTGTCAACAACGTCAATATATGTGTGTTCAACATGAGTTTTCTGCAACACATCCTTTTGCGGTAACAGCTTTCCCGCTTGCGCAATGTGCAAATTACCGGTACTGTAAGAAGAGATGAATTCACAAAATTTATGTGCAGAGTTCTGTTGTTCACAGTTTTACAGGATATTGCCAAAGTGATCAGCATAAAAGAACAGTCGGTTCCCACGATGCATGTCAGCCTGGCTCAGATAGTAGAACTCTCTTCCATGAGTCAGATGGTTCTGAGTTAAATGCCGTTGTTGGAGCTCTAAACTCATATCCTCTACCCTGACGCTGCAATGTGATGCTGGGACTTTGCTGCATTGAGGTATTCAACTTGTGAAGCACACTGAGACTACTTCACGACTTGAAAGATAGCACATCAGACGCAAATTTTATATTTGTAAATGAATATGAACCATCTCTGTGTTTGTCACATCTTCTTCCATACCTTCCAAAATGCAACTAGCCATTCTGCATTGCTCTCTAGAATTCTAGCACACTATTGCCAGACACCACTGCGCCTTCCTCCCCTCTTTCAAGGCATATCTCAAAATATATTTCTTTAATTGCGCTTTCGATCATCTTTGATAAACAAATAAAAATCATTTGGTTACTCAATTCATAACTGTTTGTGGGACACCATTGTGCGCAATTGGCTGCCGTGTTTAGCCCTCAAAATATACAGTCAATTGACTTTACAGTATATTCTGTGAAGCACTGTGAAGCACTTTGAGACGTTTTGAAGACGTGATAAGGCGCTATATCAAATGCAAGGTTTATGATTATGGTTATTATTATTAACTTTCCCCTGCCACTGCCAACTCCGGTGCACATGTGAAGTACTTTGAAGCATCCTCCCGATAGGTACTGTAAATTGCCAGATCAGAAACCAAAGTTTGTGCACTTACGATTCCTTTTATCCATTATTCTATCATTTTCACCTCAACAACTGTTCATAATCACAATCAAATATTTTGAATAACAGCTTCAACAATTTGCATTTCACGTAGGATAATGTCTCGAAGCACTTAAGAGGAAACTTAAGAGGAAACTTAAGAGGATGCATACATGAGGGAAAGGATATATAGAAGGGGATTAGGAGGGGGTGAAGGTTCATCTGAAGTATTAACACCATCATAGGCCAAATGGCTTGTTTCCGTGCTGTATCCTTCTATGTATTTCTATGCTTTACAGAAATGTTGACGGACACCAAGCAGGGAGAGTGGGGGAAGAGAAGATGACTGTACACATGTATCAATAAGGTTTTTAGGAAGCTTTTAAAACCAGATAAAGAGAGAAAAAGGCTGAAGTATTTAGCTGGAGGAGTTCCAGAGGGCAGGGGTATTGAGGCTGCAAGATCGGACCCTGATGGTGAGGCAGAGTGGGAAAGGAATGTGCTTGAGTTTGCATAATGAGGTCTGAAGGTGACAGACATAGAGGGGTGAGGGATTTATCGGTGAAAGTGATTTACTAAAAGATAATCATTTTTATCAATTTTGATCACACATTTGCCAAGTTTACTGATTCAAGCCACACGGGAGTTTGATATTATAGTCAAGGCTGACACTGCCAGGTGGTAAGAGAAGAGTACAGCATTGTCAAATGGTGCCATCTTCCAAATGAGACTTTACAATCAAACGCTGACTGCTTGTTTTGGTGGATGTTGAAGATCCCACATTCCTCCATAAAAAAATCCAAGGACTGTTTCTCTGTTGAGTAATTTGGGAATATTTTAACTCACTGCGTTTTAACCAAATCCTACGTTTTAAAAAATAAAAATAAATAATTTACTCTTACTGGTTACATTTATGAAATGATTTAATATACAGTTTAAAGTGTAAAGATTTTTTAACGTTCTTAAATAAAGTATTTAAACCACGATCAAATTGTAGTTATTAAAACAATGTATTGATTCAACATATACCCTTGAAAGTGTAATTTTTAAAAAAAACAATCTTAAGTATCGAAACAACCTTCAGCTTGTAAAGTTATTAAAATAGTGAGTCAGTCACTCAGAGTATAGGTTTTTTAAAAAACATTTTAAAGTATTTAAACCACCTTCAGATCGTAAAGTTATGAAAAAAAACAATAGATATATTGATGCAAAACTAAATATGGATTATACGGTACACATTCTTGAGCAAGACTGAGCTGCTGAGTGAATGAGTGAGTGAGTCAATGAGTCAGTCAATCAGAGAGTGAGTGAGTGAGTGAGTCAGTCAGAGAGTGAGTGAGTGAGTGAGTGAGTCAGTCAGTCAGTCAGTCAATGAGTCAGTGAGTCACCCTTGTCTTCACATCCCTCCACTCCTCTGCACCTGCTACCTCTCTGACCTCTCTCCTCACAACAGTGCCCTTTGCCTTCGTTCCACCGGTCTGGCCTCCTCCTTGTCCCCCGAATCCTTCCCTCCACCCTCGGCAACCGTGCTTTCAGCCATTATGCGCCGAGGCTCTGGAACTCCCTTCCTCACGCCCTTTGCCTCATCCCCTCTCTTCTTATTTTCAGGTCTCGGCTGAAGACCTTTCTTTTCGACAGCACCTTTGGTCACCTTCCTCCCCCTCTCCCTGGCTCAGCCCCGGGATCCGTTACCATGAAGCGCTCTGAGACGACGTCCGACGTGGAGGACGCTATATAAATCCGAGTGAGTGAGTGAGTGAGTGAGACAGTGAGTGAGACAGTCAGTCAGTAAGAGAGTGAGTGAGCGAGTGAGTGAGCGAGTGAGCGTGTGTGTGAGCGAGCGAGCGAGTGAGTGAGTGAACAACTTGGATTTATATAGCGCTCTCTACGCCAGACAGTGTCTCAGAGCGCTTTACAGTATGGATCCCGGGACCGAGCCGGGGGAAGGGGAGGAAGGTGACCAAAGGCCCAGTTTGAAAAGAAAGGTCATCAGCAGAGACCTGAAAATAGGAAGGGAGGGGGCGAGGCGAAGGGAGTGATGAAGGCAAGGACTGGGGTGATCGGGGAGCGGAGTTTTGTGCAGGTGAGAATGCGGGCGGCAGAGTTTTGAATGATTTGGATGTTATGGATGGTAGTGGATGGGAGACCGGTGAGGAGGGCGTTAGAGTAGTCCAGCCAAGAGGTGACAAAGGCATGGACCAGGATTTCAGGGAGTCAGGGAGTGAGTCAGTCAGGGAGTGAGTGAGTCAGTGAATGAGTGAGGCAATGAGTGTGTCAATGAATGTGTCAATGAGTCAATCAGTGATTGAGTGAGTGAGTGAGTCAATGAGTCACTGAGGAAGTGAGTCAGTCAGTGATTGAGTCAGTCAGTTAGTGAGTGGGAGGGAGGGAGGGAGTGAGTGAGTCAGGGAGTCAGGGAATGAGTGAGTCAGTTGGTCAGTGAGTCAGTCAATGAGTGTATCAATGAGTCAGTCAGTGATTGAGTCAGTCAGTCAGTGAGTGAGTGAGTGAGTGAGTGAGTGAGTTAGTTAGTTAGTTAGTTAGTTAGTTAGTTAGTTAGTTAGTTAGTTAGTTAGTTAGTTAGTTAGTTAGTTAGTTAGTTAGTTAGTTAGTTAGTTAGTTAGTTAGTTAGTTAGTTAGTTAGTTAGTTAGTGAATCAGGGAATGAGTGGGTGAGTGAGTCAGCGAATGAGTGTGTCGATGAGTCAGTCAGTGATTGAGTTAGTGAGTGAGTGAGTCAATGAGTCACTGAGGAAGTGAGTCAGTCAGCGATTGAGTCAGTCAGTTAGTGGGTGGGAATGAGTAAGTTAGTTAGTTTGTTAGTGAGTTAGTGAGTGAGTGAGTTAGTGAGTCAATGAGTGAGTCAGTGAGTGAGTCAGGCAATCAATCAGTGAGTAAGTGAGTGAGGATCATCTTTGTGGCCCCCCGGCGGGAGGAAGCCTGGCTGCCAGGGCACAAGCCAAGACGATGCTGATAGTCTGAGCCAGTGCCGAGCCCAGTGCCCCGGCCGTGATGTGGAACACATTGTCGCTCACGAACTGGTGGATCTTGCTGAAGCAGCCTGGCCGGTGGATGCCCGGGGCGCCGGGCGAGACGGGGTTGTGGTCGCAGCCCTTCCGTACGGTGCAGCAACTGAGGGGCACCGACCCGTTGGCCCACGGCTCCCCAGGCCAGGGCGAGGGGTACCAGTCCCGGTAGCTGTGGACTCCGCAGCAGTCCAGCGAGCGCTGCATGCTGTTGATGGCGTTGGCTTTCTGCTCGTCCTCCCCGTACAGCTCGATGGCTCGGCTCAGACCCCTCTGGAGACCCTCGGCGATGTCCCTGTGGTAAAACAAGCCCGACAGCCCGGCCGCCAGCCCAGCCGCCAGCACCGCCGCCTGGAAGATGCCGTAGGTCCTCAGCAGCCGCTTGTTCTCGGTGGCGGCGCTGAAGCAACCCAGGAAGCCCCAGAACAGCACCACGCCGCCCGCGGCCAGCAGGATGAACGGTGTGTTGGGGTAGCCGTGGGCGGACAGGACCAGGTAGTGACCCAGCGAGATCTTCGCCCAGATGCCCACCGTGAACATGCCCAGTCCCGCCACCCAGAAGACGGAGCTGAAGACCACCAGCGAGACCTTGAGCAGAGCCATGGCCCCCGCGCTGCTGGGTCTGCGGGGCAGGTGGGGCTGGCAGGGCTGGCGGGGCTGGGGTTGGCAGGGCTGGGGCTGGCAAGGCTGGGACTGGCAAGGCTGGGGCTCGTAGGGCTGGCAAGGCTGGGGCTCGCAGGGCTGGCAAGGCTGGGGCTGACAGGGCTGGCAGTCGCGGGGGAAGGAGTTCAAAGCCAAGCCTTTGGAGTCGCAGTTCCCACAGGAAGAGTCGGAGGCGAGAGGTTTCTCCTGGGTTCTCCCGGGCTCGGGCTCTGGCCGAGGGTTGCCCCTGGGCGGTGTCCGGCAGAGGGCGGCGATGGTGTCGGTGTAGGCGGGGAGCTCGCACGCCACTCCACCGGGAGCCACGGAATTCCTCTGGACACGAGGATACGCCTGGACACCCACCGCACCACCGCCCGGGACCCTGATGGGGAGGAGAACCTCCTGCCATCACCAGCCCCAGCGAATCCCGTCCGGTAGATAACAGGACCCCCCACCTTGAAGAGGATTTGCCATGCTCTGCCACCCCAACCCCCAACCCCACCACCACCAAAAAATAAATAATAACACCCCCCGCAGATGAATGCGGAGCCGTTCAAATCATCTCCAATTAAACTGCAAAATTAAAAGAAAATAAAAAAAAGAGAGGAAACTAAAACTCCAGCTTTGCTCGTGTGTTTTCTTGGTCAACGTCGATCTGGGGGTGGAGAGGGGAGTGGACCCCCCAATACCCACTCTACCTCATTGGCCATTAAATCCTTCCCTCATCGCACTTGAAAGCCATGAGGACAGACATGATCAGCTCATAATACCAACACAAACACACACATACACCCAAAAAACACCTGTCAACATGGCCTTTGAGACTGACTTCAAGCCATTGCATGCATGGGGGTGGGGGGTGTTGTACACATATATATATAGTGTGTGTGTTTAAAAAAACATGCACGTCTTGTTAAAAATTGGTTCCTTTCATAGCATTCATTGCAATTCAACACATAAATCGGGTTGGAAATGAAATACTGAACGAGAGTAGGAGTGGAGTATCTGAACATTTTCTATTTTTCACACGGTTATTGATGGGGGGGGGGCGGTTACTGCAAGTTGTTCTGTGTTGATTGAAGGCTCCAGAGAAACTCCAGTGCAGTCTGCAGGCTTTCCCTGTTGAATGTATTGTGCACCAAAGAGCCATACACTTTGTACTGATTTATGCCCAAACCCACACCCACGATCTCTCCTTTATTTGTTTTACTTCTGGAAAGCAATAACGCAGTTATTGTTGGAAGTCATTAGTTAGAAACAAGATAATTACAATAGATTACGGTATCACAATAGATCCATACAATTGCAATAGATAATTACAATAGATTACGATATCACAATAGATCAATACAATTGCAATAGATAATTACAATAGATTACAATATCACAATAGATCAATGCAAATGCAATAATAATAATAATAATAATCCTTGCATTTGATATAGCGCTTTTCACGTCGGGAGGACGTCCCAAAGCGCTTCACAGAACACACTGTAAAGTGAATTGACTGTATATTTGTGGGCGAACGCGGCAGCCAATTATGCACAGCAATGTCCCACAAACAGTCGTAGATTGAAAATGACCAATTTATTATTGTTTTGGGTTTTGGAGGGATTATTATTAGGCTCTGTGTGGAGTAAGGAAACTTGCCCAAGGTTTCGCCCTCTGCCTGGAATTGAACTCAGGTTTCTCACTTGCAAAGCGAGTGCTCTAACCACTGAGCTACAGGACTCCAATAGATAATTACAATAGATTATGTATCACAATAGATCAATACAATTGCAATAGATAATTACAATAGGACCCAGGAAGAAAAAATACATGTTTTCTTTTTTTTTAAATATTTTTTATTTTCTTTATTAAAGAAAAATGTAACACTTTTGTGTAATGTTTTCCCATACATATAGCGCCCTTGTACGTGTGTGTGTGTGACATATTAAAGTAATATCATTTTTAAACCTCAAACCCTAAAGGGTTGTGACTTGTCACAATGTGTCGCAGAACCTGTTTTACTACAAAGCCAATCAACTCTGGAGTTGAGATGTATGGCTTGATGCTACATCGTGATTTGTAATGCTTCCTTGAGATATCATATCGATTCCCATAATTTTTTTAAAAAGAAAGGCTCTACATACTCGATTGCTTGAATTAGTCCTTATGCTTATTTTTATACTTGTCTCGGCTTGTAACTGATATTGCATTAATTGATATTCACTATTAATGCGAGCTTATCCATAGAAACCATTATTTTCGAAGTAATTGCTTGAAAATCTAATGAAGATGTTTATGTACCTTCATTTAATTAAAGCAAATCTCTCTTCAGGAAAGCGTTAAAAAAGAGAAGAGTTAGAAATCAATAGGAGTTTTGTGAGTTTCCACTTTAAGCTATCTCGCTCCTCTTTAGACCATAAATAAGCAAGAAGCAATATAAAGTATACAGTGGATATCTTCAAGATTTATACATTACTTTGGTGATTTCGATCAGTGAAGTTCAGTCGATAGAACAAACTTGTGCCGCGATCAGAAGGCTGACAGTTAAAATCCCATGTTTATAGTATTGGGAGAATATTGGAAGTCTCATCTTTTGGATGAAATATTAAACCAATGTCTATTTTTGAGCTTAAACATTAAATGGAGTTTCTCCTGGTGTCCAAGATCATTAATCTCACAGGTGTTTGCAGGATCTTGTAGGTACGAACAGCTGTCATATTTGGTTACAAAAACAGTTACTACATTTGACAGTAATCAGTTGTGAAGCACTTTACATGACAATTTGACAAGGTACTATAAAAAGATACAAATTTTTGATAGAATTGAATGACTTATTTATTTTATTCACAAATAATTACTTTATTATTCTATTCAGTAATTGGCCACATTTGAAAACGCATCAAAATCATAGCAACACATGATTGATTGTTGATTAAAAATTAAAATCAATAACCATTTAAACCGCAATAACTGATGTGACATATCCGTCCCCTGATGTGCATTGCAATCAAAGTTCCTGTGTGAATGTAAATGTTTGAAATCGTATATTACAAAGACATGAAAACATAAAATTATGGTCTAGATGCCTTATACACTTCGTGTATTTATAGTAAAATCACGAAATATTATTTGTGCCTTTCACACAACATAATCCTAGAGTATTCAAATTGGAAATGTGAGTTGTGAAATCCTCTGTAGTACAATTGCAGGGATGCAGAGATGATTTCACAATCCAGCAAGAGTTGCAACAATGTACAGTATCATAAAGTAGGAAAAATACACGTATAACAAGGTTAGAATCTATGCCGAAATAATTTTATTCTTAAAATCTACAGAAGTGAAAAAGTTTCGTGACTGCAAACAAGCCTTTTCTTTTTACATTTTGTCAATAGCCAGTGCTGAGTTGAACACACGCTAACTTGAATAAAATAAAATACTCAACTTGTATTTCATTTAGCGCGTTATCACATCAAAACGTGCAAAAGCTTTGGACAATAATATTAAAATGCAGTGCCTGTTGCTGTGGCGATTTTCGGACTAAGGGAAAAAATTCGCCAAGAGAAGGGGAGGTGACATTGTGTGTAGGGCAAGGTCGCCAGGTGTGATCTGAAGACGCACGAGCGTACGAGGGAAGGCAAGGCGGAGGGATTGAGTATTAAATGTTTCATCCAAGTGCTTTTTTCATTTGTATGGGTAATTCTTTATACACTTATGTGAGGCCGAGGAAAGTTTGCAAAGTTCTGAGAAAGAGATATTTGGGAAATGATCTTCGTTAGGTTTTCCCGATCAAACTAAACTTTGATAACAGGTTGGATGGCCGCATTTGAAAACGCATCAAAGACATGATGCAAGCGAGAGACCTGAGTTCAATTCCAGGCAGAGGGCGAAACCTCGGGCAAGTTTCCTTACTCCACACAGAGCCTAATAATAATCCCTCCAAAACCAAAAACAATAATAAATTGGTCATTTTCAATCTACGACTGTTTGTGGGACATTGCTGTGCGCAATCGGCCGCCGCGTTCGCCCACAAATATACAGTCAATTCACTTTACAGTGTGTTCTGTGAAGCGCTTTGGGACGTCCTCCCGACGTGAAAAGCGCTATATCAAATGCAAGGATTATTATTATTATTATTATTGGGCCAACTGAGGGCCAGGTTGTTAAACACAGTAGTTAGCAGTGGGGAAGTCTGTTCTGTGAGGTTACCACCACCTGTGGCTGTGTCCCAGGACTCACGCCCAATGGGGCGGGTTGGTGATGGCATTGGGCGTGATTTAAGACGGCTTTGGGCGGTCCCTTAATTTTTTTTGCCATTTCATTTCGGAAAAAAACTTTTCCCTTCCCCTTTGAATACCTTTTCTTATAGCGTTTCGAGAGAGAGAGAGAGAGGGAGAAAAAAAGGGATAAGGAGGATAAACCGTTATTGGAGGCGGCGTGTAATATTTGGGCTACATTTGGGCTCGTGTCGGGATGACTTTGGGCTACAAACCGCGTTGGATGGCTGGCGAACCCCCCCGGTCAGAGAGCACGCGAGCCGGGCACCAACACGCATGCGCACTCTCACTCCCTCCCTCCCTCCCTCCCTCACACACGCGCGCGCGCGCGCGCACACACACAGCGGCGGCTCCGCCAACCGTTAAAACCCCAAACCTCTCGACGTCACCAAATGCCCGAGTTCACCCACCACTGGACCCCGGGGGGTGCGTCCAGTTTTTTTTGGTATTAAAAAAAAGGAAAATCAAGTCTCCGGCCACGAATTGAGCTCACAAAGGGGGGGGGGGGCAACAAGAGGGGGGGGGGCAACAAGAGGGGGGCGGGCAACAAGGGGGGGGGGCAACAAGGGGGGGGGGGGAAGCCTACGGCCTACAGTGCGAGCAACGGCTCGGAAGCGGCGCGAGGGGAGAGAGAGAGAGAGAGAGAAAGGGAGGAGTGCGCATGAGCCGGGGCTGACCAACGGCCACGACAGCGCATGAGCCTGAGTGTCGCGGTGGCCTGTGGGAGTTGTAGTTCCCTCCCTCCTTCCCTCCCCTCCGCTGCCGGGTCAGGGAGCCAAAAGCGTTGACCGAAAGCCGGCGGAACTACAGGTGCCAGCGGGCAACACGCGCGCCTTCCCCTCCGCCTCCTCCTCCTCCTCCTCACCGCCACACGCCTTTCGTAAGCGGGGGCCAAGCTGCCCAGCGAGAGGTGAGTCCCCGCTGTGAGTGAGTGCCTCAAGTGACACACCTGGCGGGGCTGTGGGCTGCCGGCGGGCGGGCGGGCGGGCGGGGCTGTGGGCTGTGGGCCGGGCCGTTCCCCCCCCTTCTCTCTCTCTCTCTCTGTCTCCTATTGTAGCCAAACGGGGTCGGTCGGTAAGTTAACGTCTGTGGATCAGTGTGTGACCCGCACTTTTACATCAGTGATGATAGTGATGTGATGATGATCTGATAAGCACAGGGTGTGTGGCCGCCGCTGCACTCGGTTGAAGGGGTGGTGGTGGGGGGGGGGGAGAAGAGCAGTGCCCCCCCCCCCCCCCCGGTTGCTGTGGGGAGGAATGTCGCTCCCACCCATACGGTGCTGGTGGTGGATTCCCTCGTGCGGGACTACCGGCAATTCCTGCAAAAAAAAAAGGATTTTATTTCCATGGGATTTGAATCGATTCTCGGCTTCACGTTGACATTTCAAGCCTCGTGGACGCTTGTAATTTCACCTGCGTTAGTGTGAGTGAGTGAGTGTGTGTGTGTGAGTGGTGTGTGTGTGTGTATGGGGGGGGGGGAGGGGTGGAGAGATTTATACGTGTACTTTTTTTATTGCTCTCGCAGAATTTCTTTCAAACTCACTGGGAAGTGACATGTTGTCGGTGGTGAGAGGAGGGGGAGGAGGGGGTTGGGGGGGTAACAAGACAAAGAGGTCTTTTTGACGTCGTTTTAAAGGGATATTCGTTTTGTGGCATTTATTTTTGGAGAGGGGTTTGGGTGGTGGGGGGGGGCGTTTGGGGAGGAAACCTCAGGTTTAGGGAGAGAGAAGAGAGTCAAAAGTGTCATTTGAATCACAATGGCAGCATATGCCAGTGATGCTTGTGACTTTACTGCATTTTCTTAAAAACACACATCAAGCGCTTTTTGTGAACATGCCATAAATTTCTTTTTATGTCTGAAGGGCCGGGGTTGGCAGCGGGACGCTTTTAGCGAGACTCGGAAGAAAACCGTGAGATAGAGGTTGTTTTCTGCGAGTAACTTTCACGCGAAGCTGCTGGAATCGTGTCGCAAACTTAAAGACGCAACAAGGAACATGGAAGTTATTGTGTCCGTATGTTTTATGTAGTTTGAAAGGTAAAGTTTGCAGAAACTTAAGATTTGCGATAACTGGTACTGCATCAAATGTGCCTATAATGAGGTCCACAATGGCGTTTCAAGTTTTAGTACTTTATTTTTAAGTGGCAAATTCTTATAAGTCCTGTTTTGATCAACAGTCTGTCACTGATACTAAAAGCTTTCGTGGAAGGGATTTTGTAAAGAAACTTAACAATTTGAAGAAAAACATTTTTAGTTCAACTTTCTAGGAATAATACACAAGAAAACATTTAACAGTTTTAAAACTGGCCACTTTGAGGATAGACACTGAACAGGTCAACAGTTGTGAGTTGAAGAATCTAAAGGTGGCTACTGGTTGATTGAATAATCTCTGTAGGTGTTGTAAGAAGACTACAATTTTTATGGCCCAGTATCGTGCAATAAAGTTGCCCATGCAGTTGAACAAGCATCAGGTATGATGCAAGAAAACAGATTCTAAAAGCAATAGTTATCATACTGCATGGTATTTATTCAGTTAGGACCACCCTAACATTTTTTTTTGGCCAGCTGGGTTTCTGACATGTGGAAATCTATCCATGCTTAAGAGTATCCAAACAGGACTTAAGTTCCATATATGTATGCCACCTACACATGGAAATTTCACCGTGTCTGGGCATCCTCTCTCTTGAGTGACACAACAACTACAACAAAATTACATTTGTAAAGCCCTTTCATGTCAGGAGGACGTCCCAAGGTGCTGAACAATCGGGGATCGGGATCCGAGCGTGGGGAGGCAGGGTTAGGATGAGGCAGAGAGGTAGGAGAGCGGCTGAAGGCACGGTTGAAAAGAAGGGTCTTGAGTGTGCCTTGAAGGAGGCAAAGGAGGGAGCAAGGCAAAGGGATTGTGGATGGAATTCCAAAGGGTGGGGGCAGAGAAGCTGAAAGCCTGGCCGCTGATGGTGGGGTGGGTCAGGCAGGAGATATGGAGCAGGCTGAAACTTGCTGAACGGAGGGAGCGGACAGGTTGATAGGAGATTAGCAGGTCGATAGGGGATTAATAGGTCAGAGAGGAAGGAGGGGGCACACCCTGCTTACCTAATTTTGGAGATTATTAGGCTAAGATTGGAGACTCTTGAAGTGCATGGGGATAACCTGCTTAAACTGCATACTGTGCCATTGTCTGTCATGCTTCCTGTTGCTTGTCCAGCTAAGACCACCGTACCAGTTAGGGCTTTGGCTTGCAAGTTTAACATGAGCTGAGTGGGAAACAACTCCAAGGAGATCGCACTCCCCCCGAGGATAGTTATCCTTCCATTTGAGGCGGTTCAAATGAAAAGGCTATTGACTTGTAAGGCGAAGGCTCTATCTGTAAATCCCAAGTTTGATTGATGAAATGCAAGTGGATAAAATATTAGATTACAGAGGATCTGCTGTTCTTTCCAAAGTTCTCAAAAAGAAGTGGATGCCATAACATATCAGCTGCTCTGACTTCATGCTAATAAATAAAGATTTAATTGCTTCAAGGTTTGTATGTGAAAGATGGATGCTTGAAGGCATATGAGGATAAGGCAGGGTTAGTGGGTTTGAAACAATACTTTCCTCTGAGATCTGGTGCAGACTTGATTGGCTGAATGGCCTCCTTTTCAGCTGTAAATTTCTAGGAGTTGTTTTTAGGCAGGGGTCACCCAACCAGTCGATTGCAAATAGGCATCCTGTCGCACATGCTCAATTTAATAAATAAATAATAATAATACTTGAATTTGATATAGCGCTTACCGCTTTCAAGCCGTCTCAAAGCACTTCACAGATAACAACAAGGTTACATTTGTATAGTGCCTTTCACGTCGGGAGGATGCCCCAAGGCACTGGAAAATCAATGTTTCGGATCCGAGCTGAGGGTCGGGATCAGGGGAGGGTGGAGGGCAGGTGGGGAAGGAGGTGAAGAGGAGGTTCTTGAAGGAGGCGGAGGGACTGCGGGATGGAGTTCCAGAGGGTGGGGCAAAGTGGCAGAAGGCCCACCCGCTAATAGTGGGGCAAGTGAGGCAGGGGACGTGAAGCAGGGAGCGGGCAGGTTGGTAGGGGGTTAGGAGGTCGCAGAGGTAGTGGGGAGCAAGGCCGAGGAGGGCTTTGAAGATGAGGACCAGGATCTTGAGCCATATCCTCTATGTGATGGGAAGCCACTGGATTCGGGCGAGGGTGTGTTATGAAAAGACGAGAGGGAGGAGCAATTATTTACAGCAGTTAAACAATGAAAGTTTATTTTTGTTTTGAGATGCATAAAATACTTTGTGCATTTGGCTTTGTTTTCAATTGGACTAAATAACTACGCAGTTCTGTTGCTCCTTCCTCTTGTCTGTTTGATCATGCATGAGAGCGCCACCTAGTGTTGATGGACTAGTTGGAGAGTCCCGTTTTATTTGGCTACAGTTGAAAGTTTATAAGTTGAACAGTTTTGTTCTTGAAGCCAAATTCTGACCAAAGAGTTAGTTGCTGCCACTCACTTTGGTAATCTTCATCAGAAGGTTATTGTTACTTTGTAATACCATTTTTGGTGGATCTGTAAAAATTAAGTGTTCCATGAGAAACTATAGGGAGTTTGTGATTAAAAAGCTGCACGGAAATCTGGATTTATTATAGGTCTTTTGAGGTTTAATAAGGGTTAGTATCAATATTATTTTTAAAAGTAATTTTAAAACCTAGACAGCTGAGTTCAACACCGGCTATATTAAGATTGAGTCCCCACACCCACTAACAAGACAACCACAGAGTCCTATAGAGTATTGGTAAGAGCACTCGCCTCACAAGCAAGAAGACTCGGATTTGATTACCGGGCACGGCGAAATCTTAGGCAAGTTTCCTTATTTCACACGCCTGTGTTTACTCAACAGTCAGTAGGAACCTGGTTGTTAGTCGATTGGTGGATTGCTTTCCAGGGGTAATAATACATCCCCCCAAAAATTATTTGGTCACTTAATCCACGACTCTTTGTGGGACACTGTGGTGCGTAATTGGCTGCTGCAGTTCTGTGAAGCATTTTGAGACATCTCAACAATGTGATAAGGCGCTATCTTAAATGCAAAGATCATTATTATATAAACCAGAATTTGTATTCCTGATCACTAGTGCCTGTGAATGTCCAGTGAGCCTACTGGCCTTAATACCAGTTTGAGGCTTTGTGAGGATGGTGTGAAAAGTGTCTCTTGGACTAATGCCAGGAGCTGGCAGACAGATTCCATACTCCGGTGTGATTAACCATTAACCACCTTAAAAGAAGAGGATGGCACCATCAAAATGAATCTTGATTTTTTTCTGTAATGGTCTCATGTCCATATGGTAACTACTGATAATACCTGATTGGAAAGACATTGAGCGAGGGAGGGAGGGAGGAGTTAACTTCTACAACTGATTACCAAATGACCAGATTGTTACAGCAATGCGAATTAATACTGTAATTCACAAACTGATGTATTCAGTGACTCCTTCCACAGCTTCTTCTTAAAATGAAAAATAATAATTAAAATCTTACAAAAGTAGGCTCATGAAAATAAGTGTGTTTATGAATGGAATTTGGAATAATTTAATTCTAGTATCTAATTTGTGATTGGTAAAGTATGTTTGTGTTAATTGTAGCTTCTGGTTTGTGATATTTCTGAATCCCAAGGCAGGCAAAGTCCAAAAACAAGGTATGCAAGGAAAAGTCAACATACAGTTTTTAGGACTTTGCTGACTTAGCACTTGCGGGTATCTTGGAATTTTGCCACAAAACAGGTTACAATCAGACCCCTATACCATAAACCAGATTTTCCTACTCAAAATAAAAATAGCCAGCGACTTCCAGTGCCTTGGAAATCATCAACGTGAAAGCCGCTATATAAATGTAATTTTGTTGTGAGTTGGGACATTAATGCATTGTACAATGAAGGCTTACACCTGCTTCACTCACTCAATTGGGTTGCAATCTCAGCAGTTCTATTTTGGAGTGGGGCGTAATAGATGCACTTCATGACCATGAGAGAGGGAAAATACCAACAAAATACACAGTCAATTCACTTTACAATATATTCTGTGAAGCGCTTTGAGACGTCTCAATGACATGTGAAGGCAGGATATCAAATGCGAATATCTCAAATTGCAGATCAAGAGGCTAAGGCTGTCTTACAGTATTTTGACTGGTATTAAGAGAAACCATTCATCATTTTTTAACACAATGTCTAACACAATGGTACTAATCGTTCCAGTTTTGAAGATCCAATCAGGATTCATCCATCAAATGAGGATTCAGTAGAGGCTTAACCACTGGAAGTATGCCATTTAACCTATGCAAATCAGATTATTTTCTGTACTCAGCACAGGTAGCTAACAGTAGAAAATTACATCTCCGCAAGGAAGAAAGTTTGCCATTGTTTGAAAACCCTTAGCCAGCAAATTGTTTGTTACATTACATTGGTTTATTTCTCATCACAATATCTTAATTTACTTTTTCCTACATATGCTTCCAAAGTAACTCATCAAAGTGAAGCACTTTGAGATGATAAGAGCTTTGAGATTTTAACATGATATAGTATATAACAACAATAAATAAGTGTTGCCTTTAATATAGTGCCTTTCATATCCAGAGAGTATCTCAAAACTTCACTGGATTTTGCAGGTGAATGCGACAGCCTTTGTGTATAACATTGTCCCACATTCGGCCATGTAATTAATGACCAATTTTATCGCATGATTGTTAACCATTAACATTTGACGCCCATAAAAGGGAGCTGTGTATTATTGGAAACACACTGGTTATAAACTCAGTAGAACGTCAGAAGATTGCTGGACTGCCATCAACAGCCTGTTTTGATTGATCAGACAAAACATTGTATTTCAGCAAAATAATTAAGCTTTGAAAGACCCAGATATGAACAAAAAAGTGCCTGGGATAGAATTGAGGTTGGCTCGTGGAACAAGAGTAATCTTCTGCCTCCACTTATTCTGGTGAGTTTTTTTAAAAATATCTGTCTCTGCTATTTCACTTTGTCTCAAAGGTTTTACTTTAATATGTGCATTCCAAAAAAGTATCATTACAATTCCTTTAAAGCATCTGTAAATATTTTCCCTTCTACATTCAGCACAATTCGGTGATTTCAAACGTCTGTAAAGTTTTAAGTTTTCACATTGTCATTCTGTTAATGTATGGCTCATCAGGGATTAAGGAAATGTTCTTGTATGTTCCCAGATAAATTGCTCTGGTCTTGAAGGAGAAGGAAACTTTTACCTAATTTGACAGACCTAGTATGGTTCAGGAAACCTTGGAAAGAAAAGGTGTGCAGCAAAACCCCTGAGGTGCATCAGTACCTTAATCTACAAGTTGACAGTAGGAGGTGGTTTGTTGCATGGAATCACCGGCCAGAGGTCAATCACAGGTAAGAGGGATTCATCTGTCACAATCTACAGATGATGCCTCTTCATCACTCTGTAAATATCAGATCCATATCAGAGGCTAGTTACATTTGCGGTCAATGTGAAACGGATTTGAACAAGTGCATCGGTCCATAGTTTTATATTGCAAACATTTTATCATTTAGAGCTTCAGAGTCTGCTGGAGTGCACCTTAAGGGGAATTATCAGTGTATGATCTGGTGGCATAGTGGCTAAAACTGACTGTGAAGGGTACCTTCACTGACTTCATTCCAACCCTCTTTGTGTTGCTTTTCTGGGGGTAATAATCCTTTCAAAGAAATTAAAATAATTTTGTCACTCAAACCATGACTGTTGGTGGGACACTGCTGTGTGCAATTGACTGCCACGTTTCCCCCACAAAATATACAGTCAACTCACTTTACAGTATATCCTGTGAAGCACTTTGACACGTGTCGAAGACGTGATACCGCGCTATTTCAAATGCAAGGATTATGTGACATTTGAGAATAGATATCATGAATATAGCTTTAGTAAAAGAAAATCCTATTCTGATGTATTATAAAATATAATTTCACAGTTCTGTTTATAGTTCAGAATTTAAAGTAATTGTGCACTACTGCTCAATGACAAACACTACCCAATTTACTGAATACCTAAAGGACTATTCATATTGATATTATGCCACATGAATGTTGAATTTGGTTAAGTAAATGTAGTGAAAGGAATTTTATTTATCTTTTAACCCATTGAGTCAGATGTATTTAGTTTGCGTATTATTATGTTTTTTTGCAATAAAGGCTTTAAATATCTACTGCTTTGTCCTGTTTTTTTTAAAGTTATGATGGGTTTTCAATTATGTTTTCCATACAAGTTGTACTTAAGTTTCACCTTGGCTGAATAAGATGTAGTGTGTTAAAAAAATCATCTGTTAAAAGTGTCTTTTGTATCTTGTCGCTCATGGCCTCATTTGCATATCACTGTAGCATTTCACAAGTACATGTATGTTTTTATTGTAAGGCAATATTGTGACCAGAGCTTTGTGCAAAGATATTCTTTCCATATGATTCAGTAAGATGATAGTAATACGACTGGCAGTTTATAAAATTGGGCACTTGTACATCAAAGTTAACTGGTTTATTCATAATAATCCTTGCATTTGTTTTATACAAGAAAAATACTATTGTACAATGCATTGTATTCTCAATCCTGTTTTTGAGAAGAAGAAGAAGACAATACTTTTTCTGCTTATCTAGTCTCAGCCTGGCTCAGGTGGTAGCACTCTCGCCTCTGAGTTAGTGGGTTATGGTGGGTTCAAGCCCCATGTTGGGACAAGGAGCCTACATAGCCTACGCTGAATTCAGTTCAGTGCTGGAGGTGTGCTTCATTAATGTTTCATCAAAGATGACGTCCTTCCGATGCGACATCAAACCGAGGTCTGTCTACCTGTCCAGGTGGACATTAGAGATCATCTGCACTATTCAAGAAAGGAGTTTCTCCCAGTGTACTGGCAAACAAGCCCCCAAACTTACTTGCTTCTGGGACGTTGCTGTGTGCAAATTGGGTGCTGCGTTTTCTCACAAAATACTCAGTCGCACTACTTTGATATATCCTGTGGAGTGCTTTGAGATAGCTAGAGGATGTGATAGGCGCTATATGAAAGGCAGAGATTATTATATATATGTGCTTATATATGAAAATCTATGTGTGTATATATTAATTAACAAAATTAACATGATACATATACTACCTGTAGTATTTGTATCATATTAATTTTGATTAACTTGTACATGTATGTAATCACAGTAGTCCTAATGCACATTTGGGTTAAGTAAGCAGTTAATTAACCTATTAATTAACCAGTGAATTGTCAGATTTTGTTTTTTGTATGGAATATTTTCAACCAGTTTAACATAATATGAATAGAATTAACTAGGAATATTTAATGAAACTCCTCAATTCCAACCAAAACTTAGTGTTTTTGCATGGTTTCCCCCCCAGTTTCCTTTTGAACTCAATACTCAATGTGAGTAACATGATCCCATTGCAGAGTGGCCTTTTTGAAAATGTTTAAGCTGTTGAATGTCTTCTTCCAGAGGTGACAGTGGTCTGTAACTCTCACTGATTGAAAATGTATACACTTTAACTTTGAAATTCAACATTTTATGCATTATTTTGTGATTGCAGAAAAATACTAATGGTCATTCCCATGGTGATGAGGCTTCAAGATCCATTCTGCTATTGGTGTTCATTTGTTTTTGTGGAGAGTTCAGTCTCTGGTGGGAACAGTAAGTGATACCATAATCTGGTTATGTTTTTACTGCTGCAAAGTACACAATGGGAATGTTGAATTAATATTAAAGTATAATAAACATGCAGAGTTCATTGCGTGTGCCAAAGTGATAAAAGATTACAATATTATAAACTGCAGTCTTAATCTGTTAATTTTTTAAGTCTACAAATCTCTTCATGCCCTGGCACTACCCTACTTCGCCAACCTGCTTACTCCCCACTCCACCACCCTCCGCTTGGCTGGTTCTCGTCTGCTTGTCCCTCGTCCCCTCTGCTCCACCATTGACAGCCGTGCTTTCAGCCACTATGCCCCTGAACTTTGGAGCTCTCTCCTTCAATCCCTCCAATTCTTCTGCCTTGCCCCTCGTTTCCCATTTTCAGATTAGGCCTGAAGAGCTTCCTCTCCCCGCCCCCCTCCCGCGACTCAGCATCAGGCTCCACCACTGTAAGCTCTCTGAGCCGGGCATAAAGTCACTATATAAATAAATGCAAGTTGTTGTTGTAGAGTGCAGAATGTGAACACATGTACATAATTTGCTGTCCAAACTATTCTAATATACTGTTAGATTCTAACGGTATAACAACATTCTATCAACCTCCCTCCACAGGCTACAGATCATCCAGAACTCTGCAGCCTGTGTCCTCTCCGGCACTAGGCTCCGCGACCCTATCACCCCCATCCTTGCCCAACTCCACTGGCTTCCCATCACACAGAGGATACAGTTCAAGGCCCTCCACGGTCTTTCTTTCCCCTATCTCTCCGATCTCCTAACTCTCTACCATCCTGTTCCCCAGCGCTCAGCGGGCTCCAGCCTGCTTCACATCCCCCACCTTGCTCGCCCCATTATTGGCGGGCGGCCTTCCACCACTGCACCCATCCTCTGGAACTCCATCCCGCAGTCCTTCTGTCTCGCCCCCTTCCTCGCCAACTTCAAGACCCACCTCAAGACCCTCCTCTTCGACCGTGCTTTCGATCTTCCTGCTTACCCCCTGCCCTCCACCCTCCCTCATCCCCACCCCTAGCTCGGGTCCATAATCCTGTCTGTCCAGCACCTTGGGATGTCCTCCTGACGTGGAAGGCGTTCTACAACTGTAATTTTATGTTTGGGGTCAAAATTGAATATTCAAACTGAATTTGAAAATTCCCCGAAAGCATCAAATTCTGAATACGGGTAATATTCAAATGTGACTGAAAATGCTTGAGCCAGTGGACTTTAATCTGTCATTTTAATTTCCAATGTGAATTAAACTTCTCCTGACTGCATACAGTAATGGCAGTGCTAAATGGATGAAAAGTTCAAGCACTTGTTCCATTTAAAGTTCTTTCAATCTCCAATAATAACAAATGACTCTTTTCCATTAGGATTTCAGGTCATAGTTTAGGTTGGCATTCCAGTGCAGTAATTGCATAACAACCCTTCACATTTTGACAGCATATTGAAAGAACATTTAAAAGCACTTCACTCAGCTGACTGCATTGTTGGACAACGTTGCTGTCCCTCAGATGAGATTTTACCCTTAACTAACCAGCCTGTTGAAGGCAACACGAAAGATCCCAAAGTGCGGTCTTGAGAAGAGCGGTTTTCCTATTGCCGCATACATACCCCGACCAAACTCCGTACCCCCATCTCACCAGTTCTGGCCAGGCTCCACTGGCTCCCTGTCACCGATCGGATCAACTTCAAAATCCTTACAAATGTTCAAATCCATTCACCCCCTGGCACCTCCCTACCTCTCCCCTTTTTCAAGTCCCTCCTTCCTTTTCGACTGTGCTTATGGTCACCTAGACCACCCCCCACTGGCTCATACTCGGCCTCTGCCACTGTTAAGCCGCTGAGTCCCTACCCTGCTTGGAGGATGCTGTATAAGTGAAAGTCGTTGTAAAAGTGCAAGTCCGGGGCTCTGTCTTGGTGACATCATCCGCAGCCATGGAGTCAACTTCCACATGTATGCGGATGACACCCAACTCTATCTTTCTGCCTCCACCCTCAACTCCAGGACCACTGCTGTCCTGACAGACTGCCTGTCGGACATCAAGTCCTGGATGAGAGCAAATTTCCAACAGTTGAATGTGAACAAGACTGAGGCCCTCCTGATTGACTCGCGCCAGCGCGTCTGCACCTCAGGCTCTGGCAGCATCAACCTCCATGGTTGCACATTTCAACTCACCAGCCAGTCAGGAACCCAGGTGTCTTGTTCGACCCTCAACTGTCTTTTCTTTCCCACATCCAAGCCATGACCTGCTCCCCCTTCCCTCACTTTCATGACCCCATCTCCTCCACTCTCACCCGACTCCATTGGTTCCCTATCCTTCAGAGGATCCAGTTCAAGATCCTGGTTCTCACCTACAAAGCCCTCCACGGGCTCGCTCCACCCTACCGCTGTGACCTCCTAACCCCCTACCCGCCACTCAGCCAGCTCCGGCCTGCTCCACGTCCCCCAACCCACCTGTCCCACCATTGGTGGGAGAGCCTTCAGCCACTCTGCCCCCAGCCTCTGGAATTCCATCCCCCAATCACTCCGCCTCACCCCCTCCTTAGCCTCCTTCGTCCTGCCTCAAGACCCTCATCTTCGACCATGCCAGAGGCCACCTCCCCTCCCTTCTCCCCCCACCGACCCCAGCTTGGGTCTAAAATGCTGTACACTGTCCAGTGCCTTGGGACGTCCTCCTGACGTGAAAAGCCCTATTACAAATGTAATCTTGTTGTCTTGGTCAACTATCCTTCATATTAAATGGTCATTCGCTTCATGGCTGTTTATAGACCTTTGTTGTGTTATAGTTGCTGTGTTTGCCTATAAAAACAGTCACTGCACATAGCAGTGATTACTGTGAAGCACCTTGAGGTGTTCTGTGGCATCATGTGCAATAAAACTTTTAAAATTATGTAGATATGAGGAATATCTCCTCCGATTCTGTTATTAATGAAAAAGAATTATTAACTGTTAAATAAAGACTGTTTTGAAGCCGATAATAACCATAAATTCGTAAGGTTCTCAGGTCCAACTGATAGATACAACAAATTGATTTGGAAATTGCAATCTTTACCAAGAACAGCCAACAAGCGAACATTTTGCTGATTCGTACAAATTAACAGCGTTCCTCTGGTGCTTGATGGTTGATGTCCCTACTAAACATTTGCAGAATAAACACATTTGCAGGTGTTTTCTAATGGAAAGCATGTTAATATTTTAAACGCTACCAGAAGGTTCTCAGTACTCACAATGTTAATAGATCAGTAATGTGTTTTTATGTACTTGGCATTGCTGAGCATTTTACAACATTTTTATGCCTAATATATAATTGGAAACACTTCTTCATAAATAATTGATATATACCAAATCCAGATAGCTGTAATTGCACAGAAGCAATTTGCAAATCTTTAAGTCTTCCCTCATCCATCAGCAGTGTTGAGTGGAGTATGTTTGGGGAAACTGATTTTTGTTCTCTTGACCAAACAGGTTTTTTCTGATTGGGGAGAAAACTGATTTCAGGGAATGCAAGGAGAACCACAAGATGTGAGTAAACACACAATTTTGCACACTCTATGCAATAGTCTGTGTAATGTGTGCAATAATTGAGCTACAATAATTGAGATATGGATTAGATTGCTATATATCCTGTGGCAATGCCCTGGACCCCATCTGTTTGGCGAAGTGTAATGGACACTGTTTCGTAAATGGCTATGGGTCTTTCAGTCTGAAATTATTACATTCTGCACTGCCTGAAGTCACCATGTTTTTTTCCCCCTTGCCTTGGACATTTAAAAATCCACTACCCATGAAGAACTGGTAGAATTCCATATTATGTAATGTTAATCTGGAGAGGTATTCTTATTTTAATCGAGAAATCTAGGACCACTACGTTTGAGAAGGTTAATGTTGATAGGTATCCAGGATAAGAGTGGTAATTGGCTAAAGGGAAGGATGCAGAGGAGAGTCGTAAATGTCGCTAAATTGAATTGCGGAAAGCATTATTGAATGGAATGTCTCAAACGTTGACGGTGGGATACACATAAATGACCTGGATTTGTAGATTCAGTTCAAAGTAATAGTGGGGGATGGGGAGGAATAAACGTAGTAAGAACAGGCAGTTCTGATCTTCCAAAGTAATCTCCGCTTAACAAGGTATATTCCTGGGTTGGTCACTGGCAAAAATTTAACAATACAAAAATTTGTAAAGCGCCTTTCATGTCGGGAGAACGTCCCAAGGTGCTGAATGGGATAATATTGTATCTTGTCTTGCAATATTGGAACTGAAAATAGGAGGCACATGTATCTGAAGGATAAATTTGAATTTGCGAAGTGAAGAGAGCTCAGGATGTTAGTTGACTCATCGTGCACTGTGTTGAAACATGATGTGGAATAAACAAAACAAACGGAAATATTGTGAAATCAGTTTAGATTGCTAGAAATCACGCTCTAGTTTTTTTAGTCAGCTGCACCTGGATGGTTGCATACAGTTCTAGTTACCATGACTAGGCTGATTCCCAGAGATAGAGAGATGAGCTAAATTGACTGACTACATAATTTGGGTCTTCTGTATTGGAAAAAGATTTCAGATGGGTCCTTTTATGGTTAACGTGAGGGAGAAAGTAAATTAGTGCATTATTCTCAGATACACAAAGAACATTGATGGTCACAGATTTAGGGTTGCAAGGGGCAAGTTTACTCAGGATAATTAACAGCTGGAAGGATGGCTAAAGCCAAAACCTGAACTTATTTAATAAATTAAAGCAAACAAGTGCAAATCCTGTCTGGCTGCTTTGGTAACTTATTAACACTATCAATAGTAAATCCCGGATAGGCCTGGACTTTCTTCAGCTGAACATCAATAAAATTGAAGCTGCCCTTTTCGGCTTTCACCAGGGCCATCCTGCCTCTGGCTCCAGCTCCAGGAAACCTGGTCAATGACGGCTTTAGTATTTAATTACCCTCAACTTTCCTTCAATCCCTGTATCCAGTCCTTAACCAAGACTTCTTTCCTCCATCTCCAAAACATTGCCTTTCTACAGGGTATCCAAAACGGTGTGATACCATTACAGTGTCTAATAAGTCTTAAAGAAATTGTGATAATTATTAGTAATTTTTGAAATAAAGACTATCATGACTTTTTGGTCACTCTGTATCTCAACAAGCTTAAAACCCTTATGGACACCTTAGAAGGCACCTGCTTTATAAACAAATCCACCTCATAAGGATCGCCATATAACAGGGTTGCATGTATTGTGAACCCTACATTGATGTTTTTTTCCCTCTCTTTTGGCTTCAAGATATCCCCTCTTCCACTTATTAAATGGCCCATTACAGATGGTAGAAATGGGCAATGTCAGTTGTTGAACCAAAAAAGCCTTCTATTTTATTTTGACTGTTGCTAAATGATAATGTCTGCTATCAGTATTAATTATAATAAATCCACATACAAGGATAGTTGGCAAAGTAATTATAGTATCAAATCATTTTCTGCTTCACTCAAAATGGAAGCTTTATGGCTGTTCAATGCAGCCAAGGCAACAATCTATTAAGACAACTTTAATTTGCATAGCCTTCATTACCAAACTAGTTTATAGTGGTAAAATAGTGGCCTCGGGAAGTGGCTTAGTTTATATAGTTTGCAATAAAGGTTGCTTTAGAAGCTGGTGAATTGTATTTCAGTGCATAAGAAAATTGAGGCAGCATTTGCTATACTTATTCAACCAACATACATACACAAGGGAGAAGGGAATAGAGAGGTATGGGAAAGGTTCAATGATGGGTTGAATTTCAGGAAGGGTCGTGACTTGTGGAGTATTAACACCAGCATGGACTATTTTGGCTGAACACAGTTTCTGTGCTGTAACATTTTATGCTTTATATAGTGTCTTCATTTGCCTGATATTCTGCCTAAAGATGAGAAATGATGAGGAAAGTATGTGTTTTTTTTTTACAATTGAGTTATTAAAATGAAGTGACAGGATTATAGAGTGGAGATCTGGGGTATAGAATGAGTAAACCTAACCGGTTTTCAAATTGGAACCAAGAAACTTGCCAAGTATTTCTGATTAATCTCTTTGGCAACATGCTTGATATGTCAGACTTGAGACGTGTTGAAGACGGAAAGTCATTTACTTCTTTCAAGAGCTGGACAGAAAATGAAACTAATCTCCTACTTGTATGGATCTTGTTTATAGGCTGGCCCAAGGCCACCAGCGGCTGCAGTGTCTGAGGATGAACTGCAGAATATGTCAGATGTTCATCAAAACCTGTGTAAGTCTTCCAGATTCATTTCGCAATACAAAATGACACTCTCCCTCAATCCGTCTACCTTGCCCCCACTCTCCCCTTTTTCAAGTCCAGCCTGAAAACCTTCCTTTTCAACCGTGCTTACGGTCACTTCCCCCCCAACCTCCTCAGCTCGGAGTCAGGCTCCGCCACTGTTTAGCGCTCTGAGACACTACCCTGCTTGGAGGGCGCTATAGAAGTTGCAAGTTGTTGTTGTACATTTGTATAGCGCCTTTCATGTCGGAAGGACGTCCCAAGACCCTGGACAGTCAGGGATTTGGACCCGGGGAGGGGTGTGGAGGGTAAGGGGGTAGGAGGGTAGCCAAAGGCACAATCGAAGAGGAGGGTCTTGAGACGTGCCTTGAAGGAGGCAAGGGAGGGAGTTCCAAAGGCTGGGGGTGGAGAGGCTGAAGAAATTTCCTGAAGAAATGCAATAATTTGAATGTTAAGAAAATTGATCTTGGTAGAAGAATGTAGATATTTGTAGAGGGTCTACTTTCAATAAAATGTTAACCCATAACACCAAAAAACAATTGTTATTTAAAAGGAAAATTGTATCTCATTAGAGATATTCCAAATGGATTTCTTCACTCATTCAGAGATTTTACTGAAAATCTCCATATGGCACAGCCAGGCCAGTGTTCTCTATGAGCCTGGATACTGTTAGGAGCAGAAAGAGTCAGGAAAATGGACTGACTTAATATTTTCTCTTTCAAACAAAACTTCCAAATAAATACAGTGAAAATCATATTTTTTTATCAATTTACAAAGGTTAGTGGGAAACAAATTATCCATTGATTTGGCTCCTAAATGCTACTGTAAATAAAATAGACATGAAATGAGATTAGGCAGTCTCTAACCTAATTCTGAGTGAATGTACGTGAGGATTAGCTATAAATCATTGCTCTTTTTGGAATGTGATTATTTGAAGCACCTAGAATTACTAGAAGCTAAACCAAAATTGAGGAATAATATGGTGAACGGGGATTCGTGTCATCAATTATGTCATTATTTCTAAAGCGGTTAACACAAAGCCAGCAACCTGATTTTCAAAAAAAAATATTGTCGTCTGCATTTGTTCGGCCAGAAGTAATAGGTCACAAATAAATTCCAAAAAAAAGTTACAAGTGTTTTGGTGCCCATGAAGGCATTCTTTCAAAAAGGTGAATTGGGCCTAAAGTTTCCCTCTTTTTGTCCCCAGCTGCTGTAGTTCAATAATGAAACACAATAATGAAATGAAAGGTGCCAACGGATGAAAATATGTTTCTTTTAAAAATAAAATAAAACAATTAGATGCACAGATTAAATTACTGTGGCCCCAGCCTCCCATTTGCATAGGTTATAGACAAAAAGTGTCTCTCAAATCTTAAAAGTGAGGTCAATGAACTTTATACATTATTCCTTGCATTAGCCATGGTTAAAAGTGTTTCTACATGGTAGATTTTTATATAGCTGGAAAGGTTTACTTTTAAGAGTTATACTATTCATTGTATATTGTTGTTTAATATCCCCACTTTACACCAGTTCTAGCCTGGCTCCCTATCGCTGAACGGAATGATTTCAGGATCCTCACACTCGTTTTTAAATCCCTTCATGCCCTGGCACCTTCCTCTTTCTCTGACCTGCTTACCCTGCTGCCTCTGCTTGACTGGCTCTGGCCTTGAGCATGTCCCTCGTGCCCTCCGTTCCACCATTGATGGCTGCACTTTCAGCCATTATGCCCCAAAAGTCTGGAACACTCTGTTTCTATCCCTTCACCTTGCCCCATCCTTCCCCATCTTCAGGTCGCCACGATGGTCACCTCTCCCTCCTCCCAGCTTATTGGTTTCTAAAGGGATTTCTCAATAAGGAAACTAGTGGTAGCCGAAGAAATGTGCATCAAACCATGGAACTTCGCTCTGAGATTAAATTGTGTCAGAAGAGATTCCTAAGAATCAGTGTGACCCAGTTCCAGTTTCCTTATTAAGGAACCCATTTGAAGCTGTCAGATATCAAACCCAGTTGTAATGTATTTATTTACTTTTAGCAGATGCAGATGCCTTTAAGCTTTTATGGGAGATGAAGATGCAAAAGAGACAAGGAAAGCCAAATCTTCCAGACACTGTGACTGAACTTGGTACAGAAGATGGCTGTAAAGTCTACCTTGTCGGAACCGCCCATTTTAGTGAGAGTAGCAGAAAAGATGTTGTAAAGGTAAAAAAAAAATAACCTTTAGTAAAAAAAACACCTTTATGAAGAAATATAATTTTGCCTCAAACAAATATTGCTCATAATCTTTGCCTGTTTTGACTTAACGTGATTTCAAGAGTAAATCTGAAGAGGGAAGACTATTTTTGTTTGTGGGGGGGGGGGGAAGCAGAATGAACAGATTGATTTTAAGATTCTGCATTTTCAGCTTCCATTTTAATAAGTTTATTTCATTTTAATCAACTAATTTGTCATTTTTGTTGAAAAGTAAACCTGTATAGCGTTTTTTTTAAAAAAAGACACAAAATCGCCTGACTATTTGGAACGCTGGCAATAATTGTGCCTACAAATATAGTCAATACTCTTTGCAGTACAACTCTGAAGCTCTTTGAGATATTTCAAATGTTATGTTAAGGTGCTGTATAAAATACATTTTATTAATTATCGTTTGAAGATTCATACTGACTGCTGATCTATTTTTTTGGGAACAGCAGGTGCGATTTAGACAAGCTGATACGTTAACCAAACTGTTTGATCCAGATTACCATGGTGAATTGTATGAAACTGTTTAATTTGCCAGCATAGAGCTTCCATTATTAATTCCCACCTCGTTTCAGACGATTCAAGAAGTGCAGCCAGATGTGGTGGTGGTAGAACTCTGTCAGTATAGAGTCTCCATGCTCAAGATGGATGAGAAGACATTGCTGAAGGAAGCCAGAGAAATCAACCTGGACAAATTACAACAAGCTATAAAACAGGTATTGTGTTTTATTTACACGTTTTGCGGCCATTGATATTAACTGTTTTGAAGCATGTGGACTTCAGACTTCATTTGAATTGTTAGAGTGTTTATGGATAAAGGAATGTTTATCCGTATCTGTTCTCAAATTGCCCTTTACAACTCTAGCCCTATGTCCTCCAGTCTTGATGTATCCTAAAGTCTTGATCTGGGTTTACTACTTTGATCTGAGTTAAAATGCTATACGCCTCTATGAGGTCCCCTCTTGAGTCATCTTCTCTCAAGACTGAGAGCCCTAGCTTGTCTAATTTTTGATCATCGGACGAAAACAATGCAAAGTTACTCCTTGCTTCCTTCTCTCATTCCCTCCCTCTTCCTTTCCCTTCCCCCTATCCAATACATTGAGCTGAGTTTCAGCAAATGCTGTATGTGGTGAAATTTGCAGTAATATGGTGCACGCAAACAAAAAAGTGCTTTTTTTTTAAAACTCATTTCTTCATCCAGTATGTGTTATGAATACTCAACTACCCCAGTCTCATAGATAAAGAATGGCCCTTTGCTGGGCGAGGGTCTGTAGCTTCAATAGAAAATTAGAAAATTGGCAAAACAAAAGATGCACGGGTTAATAATAATAATAATCCTTGCATTTGATAAAGCGTCTTATCACATCTTTGAGATGTCTCAAAGCACTTTGCAGCATATACTGTAAAATGAATTGACTGTATATTTTGTGGGCAAAACGCGGCAGCCAATTGCACACAGCAGTGAGCTATGAACAGTTGTGGATTGAGTGACCACATTATTATTTTAACTTGGGTGATCAATGAATCAAACAAGGTTTTATGTATAGCCTTGATCTCTTTTGCTCAGTAACATATTTTGAAGCCATATTTGTTTTCTAGTAAAAGAGTATTTGTAAGTTCGATCCAGTATTTAGCACGAATGTTTTTGTTTGATAATTAAACCTAGTTTTCTGTCTTGTTTTTAACAGAATGGAGTCATGTCTGGGTTAATGCAGATGCTGTTGTTGAAGGTCTCAGCTCACATCACTGAACAGCTGGGAATGGCCCCAGGAGGGGAATTCAGGGAGGCCTTCAAGGAGGTATGCATTCATTTATTAAATTTGAATCATTCAGAAACCTCTTGTGTCTCATAAATCCTGACTGGCTGATTTTGCACAAAGTCAGTGAAGTATGACAATTACCAGTGCAGGAGGTATTAGTGAAAATCATTTGAATAATAGTAGTGTAAAATTGCTAGATGTTGTGATTTAATTTGTGCTTCAAGTTGGTATTTACATATAAAAGAGGACAGGGATCATTGTGTATGCAACGGCCATAAATAACGTATAGATATTCTACAAGGGAGATCTTCTAAATGTGGTTTAATAAATCCAGTATTGCAAATCCTTATATGAATACTTGGGTTACATTGGGAGCGCTGTTATAGCCCAGTGATTGGCTTCTGCAGAAACTAGTTGCAATTTCACTGTGCACACGCTGTCAGCCAGTCTTAATAAACCGGCTGTAGGTTTTAAGGTGGGCTTTATAAGGAGAGGGTTAGTGCTGAGTAAGGGAGAGGGGAAGGGGAGGCATTCATAGGCACGTACAAACAGGTAATTTTTAAGGTGGGTATTAAGAGCAGTGTTGTCCAATAGAAATCACTGACTAGCCACTGGTGCGATGGCAACCCCATTTTAGCCACATGGACTAATTTTAGTAGAAAATGCCTCACATACACTCGAATAATACAGGTAAATGTACTTCACTTGCATTGTTTAAATGTATATTTACTTAACAAACATTTACCACCATTCAGTGAGAAACTTTGTCGTAATCCATATGGTGAAGGTTTATAGGCTGTTTCCATTTGCTGGTGAGTCCAAAACAAGAAGGTATAAATGCACGATAGCCAGCATTTCCATGTTTCATTAAGGCTAGATTTCATTAATGCTGAAACGGTGGAAATTAATACACTATTTTAGCATATAACTAATAGGCAGTAAGCAATGAAGTAAAGCACACGCAACAATCAAAAAATACTCACTCTTGCTGCATTTTGTCTCATCGTTTTACCAACAAACGAGCAAAAAGGTCAAAAGAGGACACCTGCATACACCATGTCAATTTGAGTATTGAGATCACATGCCCATCGACAGAGTCTATTACTCATGTTTTTATTTACTAACCAAAAATGCAATTTCACCATATCTGGATTCCCAATTTGCCACATGTGGATAATGGTATTGGACGACCCTGGGTTATAGCGAGGGGTTACCAGAGATTGAGGACGTGGGATCGGAAGCTTGGCCACCGATTGTGGTGGGAAGAGGGCAGAGGAAGCCCGAGTTTGCTTCACGGTGGGGTTGAGGAGATTGGAGAGAGAAAGAGACGCGAGGGTGAGAAGGGATTTATCATTGTACCTTCACTTTTCTACTTTTGTTAAAATCTAATTTGGTCACTCAATCCATGACTGTGGGACACTGCTGTGCGTAATTGGCTGCCACGTTTCGCCCCCAAAATATACCGTCAAGTCACTACCGTATATTATAAAGCACTATATCAAATGCAAAGATTATTATATTATAATCTAATCCAGTTTTATGGTTATGTACGGCTGTTTATCAAGATAAAGGCTGATGATGCGGATATCAAAAATGCATTTATGTGACAGTATCAAAGCCTCCCAGATTAATTGAACCATGAACGAGCTGCTGTTACATAGTGTCCCTGTGTTGTATGTAATTAAAGGAAACACAGTTACCGAAGAACCCCTGGATCAGGCAATCCATTCTCATAGCCTTTGACTGTAATTACTAATTTTAGTGTTCCCAATAACTCAAGCTAAAGCTTTGTGTTCACTGATAACTAGACTGAGATTGTTGTGACTATTTACTTGGAATGTTAAATGCTCATCTAAGAGAGAAAGTGTTTCTAGTGGTTTTCGGGGCTTGATCCAAACCCTGAACCGACCAAGTGGTGAAAGGAATGTGCTCAAAACACTGCATTGCTTGTTCTCATCCATCTCCATCCCAGTTATTTTTGCATAAGCATTTTATGTGTGAACAAACGAAAAAGAAGCTAGACTTGGAACATATAATGTACAGGCTATTTACAGATTGACTGACTTGTATATTTTATTGCACTAGTCTTCATCTCAGTCTGGTGAAGCAATGATACTTGTGGGTTTCCATTACACTGATAGTGCCAAGGTATGACAAATGCATTTAATAATCCTCCAGATAAGTTGATCTCATGAGTGTTTGAAGGTCTTTGTTTTACGTAAAGTGGTTGCCGATATTAAAACAAAGTCAGTTAATGGTTATTATTAGATGCTTTAATGTGATGATCTATAAAAACTCGAGTTTTTTTTNCCTGCAACTGTTCAGAATAGATGAAGGTTGTAGCATATATACCACACATTTCCAGGTCATGTGGATTGACTGACTTTGTACATTTTTATTACATTGATCTTCACCTCAGTCTCCGATGAAATGTTTATGCTTGTGGCTTTCAATGTTCAGTGTAATGAAGCTACAAGTCCTGTAGCTCAGTGGTTAGAGCACTCGCTTTGCAAGTGAGAGACCTGAGTTCAATTCCAGGCAGAGGGCCAAACCTTGGGCAAGTTTCCTTACTCCACACAGAGCCTAATAATAATCGCTCCAAAAACAATAATAAATTGGTCATTTTCAATCTACGACTGTTTGTGGGACATTGCTGTGCGCAATTGGCTGCCGAGTTCGCCCACAAATATACAGTCAATTCACTTTACAGTGTGTTCTGTGAAGCGCTTTGGGACGTCCTCCTGACGTGAAAAGCGCTATATCAAAATGCAAGGGTTATTATTATTACAAGCCAAGTTGTCATGCTTTGCAACCACTATCACCATCATTGTAACGACTAATAAAGATTAAAAACTTGTGTAATGTTTGCAGAATTTTAAATTTTTTCAAGGTCTGTTTGTGACACCCATCTTTGTAGAACACTTTGAGACATTCTCCCCATGTGAATGACGCTATTTAAGTGTAAATTGTTATTTTTAACAATGGCTAATTTTACAAATAAAAATGAAAGTTTTTTTTGTTGCAACTATTCAGAATGATAATGTAACAAATATATTACGTGTAGAGTCGCATTCCCAGGTCACTCTGATTTAATTGTTTTTATAGCTTGCTTTCTCTCTCTCTCCCCTCTGGTATTTCTCTGTTCTCCCTCTCTCTGTTCTTTCTTTAGGAATGAGCAATTATTTCACTACTGTATTCAGCTTTATATTACTGTTTATTATACAGAATGCAGTAATTTATTGGTAGATTTCTCCTTGCTGATTTATGTTGTATAACCCTTGATCTATCTTTGTTCTCATAAAAAAAACGAGAAGTGCAATCAACAGAACAGTAGTTTGGCAGGATGTGCTTTGCTTATCAACTGCTTGAAGATTACAAGTAACTCCAGTTACAGGGAGCAATATGGCCATTACAAATTCAATAGAAATATCATTGTAGTCAGAAAATATTCTTTTTGTGAATTTGTTTTTAATAATAGTGAGTCACTCTGGATGTTTTGCAAGGAAATACACCTCAAACTGCAGCAATGTACATGTTACCTTAATTTGTCTTCTGGTACAAGGATAAGTATGATCTCAAGTAACTCCTGCAAGTGACCATCTGGATTTGCATTTGGAAACAGTCATTTGAAAGTCCATTCCAATAGTGGTCATTTTAGTCTCGAGTTGAATATTGACTGGTCTAGTTAATATCTTGTGAAATAACTTTTATGGAACTTATCAACCTATGCTGATGTATGTTGAACTTATCAATATCTCACCAGTTCTGGCCAGGCTCCACTGGCTCCCCATCACCAAACGGATTGACTTCTAGATCCTCACGCTCGTGTTCAAATCCATTCATTCCCTAGCACCTCCCTATCTCTTCAACCTCCTCACTCCCCAATCCACCATCCGGCACCTCTGCTCGACTGGCACCGGCCTCCTGCTCGTCCCTCGCACCCTCTGCCCCACCATCGGAGGTCGCGCTTTCAGCCACTATGCCCCGAAACTCTGGAACACTCTCCCTCAATCCTTCCGCCTTGCCCCCTCTTTCAAGTCCCACCTGAAAACTTTCCTTTTTGATCGTGCTTATGGCAACCTGCCCCCAGCTAGGAGTCAGGCTCCTCCACCGTTAATTGCTCTGAGACGCTACCCTGCATGAAGAGCGCTATAGAAGTGCATGTCGTTGTTGACTTAATCAGTTTGGGGGGCACACTTTCGAGGTCCACTTGTGGCAAATATTTAGTTCAATATTCTGTAGGTTCTGCAGCAAATATACTTAGTTTGTTTTAAAAATTGCAAATTTCTTGATTAACTTATTACTCATTCTTGATACAGTTGAATCATATTAAATGCATAATTGGCTTGTGGATAATATTTAATTTTTTTTAATGTTACAGGCTGGAAAAGTGCCTTTTTGTAAGTTTCACCTTGGGGATAGGCCCATCCCCATTACCTTTAAAAGGGCCATTGCTGCACTTTCCTTCTGGCAAAAGGTCAAGCTAGCCTGGGGTCTCTGTTTCCTGTCAGATCCAATCAGGTAAGATTAAGTCCCGTATTGGTTAGAGGCCTCGCAAACGAGAGGACCTGCGTTCGCTTCCCGGGCAGGGCGAAATGTTAGACAAGTTTACTTACTCCACACGCTTCTGTTTACCTTTCGTGAGTAGGCACCGTTTGTTAGTCGATTGGCAGATCACTTTTCCAGGGATAATAAACCCTTAAAAAAAAATTATAATTTGGTGTCCCACTTTTGGTGCTGTGAGCAATTGGCTTCCTGCATTTCGCTCACAAAATATACAGTCAATTCACTTTACAGTATATTCTTTGAAGCGCTTTGACATGTTTCAAAGACGTGATAAGGTGCTATATCAAATGCAAGGATTATTATTAAATTTTACTAATCCAAGAAATCCTAGTGATTCTGCTTACAACTCAACACTTTGAACTGTAACACTGTTTTACCTCAAGTTATTTTACCCAAATACAATCAATACAAATTGTATTTTACTGAAGGAAATCTGCAGTTTTCTGTAAATTATTTCCACAATACCTAAATGTCATGAAGTGGAAGAATTGTTATTGTATAGTAGTATGATGTTGAATCTTGTTCTCTGCAATTTCACCACACAATGAGTTCATAATCAATTTGTAGTAATAGAAAATTCATCGCTTGGAATTGAAGTGCTTCCCATGTTTGACCAGTAGTAGGAATGTTTAACAAATGTACCTGTGTTTCAGTAAGGACGATGTAGAAAAGTGCAAACAGAAAGATCTTCTGGAGCAGATGATGTCTGAAATGATTGGAGAATTTCCTGATCTTCACCGCACTATTGTTGCTGAACGGGACGTTTATCTTGCCTATATGTTGAAGCAAGCAGCAAAGCCATTAGAACTACCTCTGGCTTTAGGATGTAAGCATATACGATGTCTGTTGTAAAGTTCTAATTTATTTACCTGGAACAAAGCATTGCTATCCTATTACTTTTAAAACTAATACACAGGACGTTGTCGTTCAGTTGGTGAGTTTTCTATTGAGCAGATAATTCCCAGATTCAATTCCTAGTAGCAGATCTTAAATTGGTGGCTATGGCCTCAGCATTTCTTGATCAGGGAGGGTAACTTAGACAGGTTCCTATTTCTGGTTGCTATCCTGGGTTACTCTTGAGAATTGAATGGACACTTGAGACCAAATGGTTTGAGTGCTGTTGGGTGCACTCAGTCTTTCACCCTTTCTAAATCAAATAAAACTTGAATACAATGCCTAAAAATAACCTGTCAGGTAGGGGAAGTAAGTAGGCTTTCACGTTCAGAGCTAGTATGCTCTGATTCTGTTTGGCAATACAAGCAGAGATCCAGGACATTGTGATGTGTTAATGGAGGGATGCGAAGGGTAATGTGATAGCTTTGCCTGATAAGATGATTTTCTATGCTTTCCACAGCTGAGCCCAACCAACAAATGCCATCTGTTGTGGTCGGAGTGGTTGGAATGGGTCATGTACCTGGAATTGAAAAGAACTGGAATAATCTATTAAATATTCATGAATTAATGAGGTAATGTTTACCATATTTTTCATTTGGATCAGTAGTAGTAATTGCAATTGGTAGATTGCTGATGTAATTTATTTAGGCAAGCAAAGAAAATGTTCATCTGTAAATGTCCTGGTTGATTTTCAAGCAGACATCAACCAGATAGCTCCATCTCAACAGAGTAGCTATTAATTGTTGGCTTGGCTGGTGCATTTCAGTCTAAAAGGGTCAGAAAATTGACAAATTAGTCTTGTAGCTCAGTGGTTAGAGCACTCGCCTCGCAAGCGAGAGACCTGGGTTCGATTCCCAGCCGAGTGAAACGTTGGGCAAATTTCCTTACTCCGCATACCTCTGTTTACCTAGCGGTAAGTAGAAACCCAGTTGTTAGTTGATTGGTGGATCGCTTTTCCGGGGGTAATAATTCCTTCAAAATTAAATAAATAATAAGTTGGTCACTCAATCCACGACTGCTTGTGGGACACTGCTGTGCGCAATTGGCTGCTGTGTTTTGCCCACAAAATAGAGTCAATTCACTTTGCAATATATTCTGTGAAGTGCTTTGAGACGTCTAGAAAACCTGAAAAGGCGCTATATCAAATGCAAGGCTTATTATTTTTCAGAAGATACATTGCCGATTCAAAAACAATTAATTTGTAGTACAAAACTTTTTTTTTATTCTCAAGTGAATTCTTTGGAATTTGCTATGTTTATTCCCAGACAGATACAATACTGCAGCATTCTATTTGGTGCATTAGTTTAGTATTACGACTGACTTTTCATGCTGATTTGACTAACCAGAAAGTTTTTTTGCTCCAATAAATCATCAACCAAGTTACTGAAATTTTCTTTTCCTCTTTTACAGTGTGCCTCCCCCTTCATTAGCTACTAAAGTATTCAAGTTTGCTCTTAAAACAACGATTATGGGACTGCTAGGTTACGGCTGCTACCGCATGGGAAAAGGGACCGTTCAGTTGATGCTTTCAAGACCATTAATACAGAATTACCTCCACAAACTTACAAATCAAAAATTCTAACCAGACCAGTTTGAGGATGACCTTTTTACACAATGATTTAAGATGATCGAAGACAAATATACAACAAGCTTTCCCTGTGTATTTTACATTATGAATTCTGTTATGCAAATAATTTGGGACACAAAGGATGAATTCTTATTGCTTAAGAGCCACATCATCAGGAAACGACGAGTCCCAAATTTTTGATCTGAAAATTTACCAATGACTATGTGCAAAAGCACAACTCAAACATGTGGAGTAATGTACAGTACATATGCCTTCATTGTGACTGATGGAACTTGGTGTTAGTCAACATGTTAACGTTGCAAATTATATTTCAAAATATTCTGCTTTCATTTAAATTTATCTTTTTGCTGTGATGCAAGGTTCTGAAGCCCAAGGTTAAACTTACTTTAAAATCATCCTGAGATACTCTTGAATGATTCAAAAAATTATACAGTTACCTCAGACATTCATTATAAGTGTTTTTCGTACGTTTCCGATGTTGACATGAAAACATTTTGGCATACCACCAATATTGTTCCCAATTGAACATTCAGTTTGTCCCCTTCTCTAAAACTGATCACCGCAATTGGAACCTTTATTTTGATAGGTGAGAGAATTTGATCATATTGAATAGAAATATTTTAAATTATTTATGACTCAGCCTTTCAAAAATGACATGCAATTGCCATTTTCTGCTTTTCCTATTTATTCCACTCTGCCATTTCACACAAACGTATTACAAAAACGACTTAGAACTTTTAAGAGAAAAGGTATTCAGGAACAAGGTGGCCTCAAGATTGCTATTCGTATTTTTTTTCAAGGCTGCATTTAACTTGTCATACAATTATTCTCTAGTGTTCTTCATAATCGTTAGATGCCAACCTTGAAGAGTCTGATTTAAATCAAAATTCCCAAAGTAATTTTTCTCTGCTATTGTATTATGTGGATTATCAACACATAAAAAGGAATTTGCTTCTGTCTCATTCTGCGTGTGCTAAATCTTGGTTACCTTTATTCTGAATTTATATTACTATGTTGAAATGTCTATTTTTCAAATTATTGAAGAACTTCTAGCAAATTTTGGCTAACAATATAGACGACATGCACTATTTGTACATCTTTGTTGCCTTGGTAGTGTTTGCTTAACTGCTTCTATTTTAGTATTTGACCAGCATTACCTTTAGTGGGAAAAAAACAGTACCCTCAGGTTAAATTCTGTACTTTATTTGATGCAGATTATGCAGGAAAATTATATATGGAAAACAGCAATTCATAATTTCCTAATTAATGTTGTACCTTATTCTAAACAGTAAAACTGTACTGTTTAGAGAAATTGATATTGAACCATGCAAATCTCTGAAATGGAGGAAAGGGCTCAATAATTAAGTAGCTTTCACATTATTTTGCAGGCTTTATATAGAATAAGATACATCTTTGTTGTCTTCTTACAGAAGTGTGACTTTTACTTGAGCAGCTTGGTTGGGTGTGTATCTGGTACAGCTGAAATCATAACAATCTACAGTAATAAAGTAAGAGTGAATGGGAATGTAGACTGGATATCCGTGGTTGTATCGGAAATCTGTTTGCAATAGATGGTTCTCCCCATCATTTACGTGCTATGCACTTGTTCTTACTTGATTGAGCTGACTTCATTTTTACAATATGCAGAAAGGAAGTACAGTAATTGTGCATGTAAATAGTGGTCGATCAGATTTGGAGCGGAGCATAACATTGATTCAAGATATAAAGCTGCATGGATTACAAGTGTGTTTAAAATGGGATTTTAGAATTTATATAGCAAAGGTACCATTTTTTTTTCCTGAACAGAGAAATAAATGTTTGCTCAAATAATTCAAATGGAATGAAGCTACTTATAAAATATCAGCTTCCCTTTTTCAAAAAAAAGCATTACCAACTCTAAATTGTTTTAAACTATATACCAGTATCCATTGGTCAGTAACTAGTAATTAATTTTCCTTTTGAGGAAAAATGAGAATGAACCACAAAAAGACACATCTGCAGCAATGTTGGTCTCATCAAAAATGGTTGCTCTAGTACTTCTGTTTTTTCCTCCTTGTAATTAAAACAGTAAACCGTTAATTGCACAAATAAATAACATTGAAGTGGCTTTTAGTAGCTAAGTTTTCTGAACACAACAGTAATGTTTAGGCTGTTTCTATAAACTAAGATCTGCATGCAGTCCAGTTATGGCAGTGTAGAAATAGTCACACTTCTGTTTTATATGTGCATTTGTTGCAGATAGTTTTTTTATATAGAAATAATCTGCAATTTCTTTCAGTATTTGTGTTGAGACGTGTACAAAAGAAGGACTTGCTTTTTTAATGCTAATTTAGTATACAATTCTGTCTTTTTTTACAAAATACTGCCTTATATTGATTTTTTTAAAAAAAATCATTTTCTAAACTTGCAAGTCACACTAGTGATGCAAATTATTAAAATGGGAGTTCAGTTAGGTACAATGATGCTCAAATTTGCTTTATCTGTCAAATGACATTCTTCTGAAATGCTGTTTATTTTTGCTTTGTACATTTGAATAGTTAAACATGTGTTCAAACCCCACAATTGACAGTGGCTTGTTTGGGACAAAATCAATGTGTTTATGAGGAGTATCTGTTTATGGTACTTGCTTCTAATAACTAATATCAATGAATGTAGTCCATATATCCAATGTACTAAAGCAACTTGTGCAATCCAAATTTCATGAATGAATACGTTTTTACAAATGTAAGGAAATGAGCAATAATATTAAAGTGCATTTAGCAGTTTTGTGGCCTACACAAACTGTTTTAGCACTACTTCAAATCATCAAATATGATAATACAGTGAGATGCAATGATGTGGTGTATGATTATCAATGATTTATTTTGACCGTAGCAGTTACAGCTTAATCATTCCTGTTAAAGCTTATTTCTGAGGTTACATTCCCTGAAAAGGTTAATACTCTCTCAACAATGTACCAAAAAAGATCGTGTTGATTTCTATCAAGTGTTATCTATTTTGTGATGCTGTTTTGCTGGGCTTCTTCTGCTTCTCAGGTACTGTACTTTGAATTTATAAAAAAAAGCAGTTTTAAGGTTGCAGCTACTCAAGTTGGATATTGAAATATAAAAAGCCATGTTTCCCAGACATCCTGCTAATGGGGTGTTTTTTCTGTGTCCTGTGTCTTTGTTTTAGTTCTATAAATGTCGAAAACAAATGAAATCTTTTCCTGCAATTATGTAGAAGGACCGTGCCTTTTTTGACAGCAAAGTATACGTGGTGTATTGGAGACTAAGTGTACCATAAGTGCAGAAATTAAGTATTAAAAGTAATTCTATCTCAGTATTTTTCAGTTTTGTTTTGGTAAAATGACAGATAAATCTGAGTGAGGATTTTTCCCCCGAATTATAAAATGGTAATTTAGATAAAAGCCATTTTTTTTTAAAAAAAAACTAAAAGCTAAGTAAGCTACTCACCAGGATGGTCCATTTTAGATCCATGGTGTGTTCTGATCTCAGCTGAGGTAGCGGGAGGATGGCTAAATTTAGCCACAATGGCCCTGGTTTTGGGAGGAGATAAATCAAACCCTTGTTTCTGATCACTAACCAACGACGTGTCTTGGACAGAACACCTGAGGGGATATTGGATGAGTAGGGTAACTGGCAAAGCTGCGATCTTTCACTCCCCTCCCCCCACCAAGGCATGGTGCCCATTTTAATCTCTCCATGTTTTATAGTCTGCATTCCTTCTAACAGTTCGTCACATGTGTATAATAATCCTTGTATCACGTCTTCAAGACGTCTCAAAGCGCTTCACAAAACATACTGTAAAGTAAATTGACTATAAGAATGCATGTCACCTGTAGATTGCCTGTTACATGATCAATGTTGTTTTAGCAATCTAAGGAAGATAATCTACAGATTAGTCGCATTTCAAAGAAAATCTACAGATATTAGAAGAGGAAAAAAATTAGAAGTGGAAAATCAAAGATCTGTCTTAATATGCATTGTTAATCAGTGTCCCCCGGCCACTAAACTAAACGTTTTCTTTGCAATGCTGTGAACACCTGAAGGATTATTTTAGAAAACTTTATTTTAAACAACTGGTTTTTATTGCAGAATTTTGAGACTTCACTAAATGCTCAAATTATTCAAGTTTCCTTTGATCTAATTGTATGCAAACTTCCCATTTAGAAGGCTATCATTATAAAGAACAAATCTCAAAATCTCCTCTTCTGTTTTCTCCTTAATTTTGCACATTAAGTTGAGGCATATTCTGAAATGCTGTTTTCACCCACAAAATACTCAAGTCAATTCACTTTACAGTGTATCCCGTGAAGTGCTTTGATGTGGGTCTCAACGATGTGGTAAGGTCCTATGTCAAATGCAAGGATTATTATTATGTTCCTACCTAGATTTTTAAAAATAATTTACACTATTTCCCAAAACATGCAAAAGATTCAAATCTTTCAAATGAAATTTTGAGCCAGCTTAATAATGCAATATGTTGGCAAACCAACACACCACACTATGGAGTGGTCGCCGTGTGAATTCACACTTTCCATTGCATGGATTGTTTCATTCTCTGGTCAGTGAAGATTTGTGCTTGATTGGCCACAGAAATTGTTGTGTTCTGCTCCCGCACCCCTCACCCCCCACCCCCCCTTACATTGATGGAGGCCTGGAACCAAATGACCTAGCTATCTGCTTCCTTTGATAGAAAATATGCATGGTAAAAGGGATGCTGTAAGCAGTAGAATTTTTAACGTTTGTATCCTTTGTTATTCCTATTAAAAAAAAGTTGACCAGAATTTTGATGGCTTTTACTATCCCTGCATTCGCTTGCATTGTTTCGCACTGCCAAACCAAGTTTTGTGTGTAAACTTGTTCTATTTAACTGCAGCTTAGTGCTCTACCTCCAAATTTGAATGTGCCCTTAGTTATGTTTCAAAGCTTAAATTGAAAGCATTTCAATACCCACCATTATCAAAGATCTGAATCATCAATCATCTGTACTACATATAATCAAGTGTCTTTGAATCAAAGTGTCATCAACTTAATCATTTGTTACTTTCTGTATGTTATTCGATTGTTGTCCTTTTAGAAATAATGTGATCCAAACTAATTACAGTATTTATGTGACATCACCAGTGAGTTATACAGAGTGAACCAATATCCAATGATCACTTCATGCACCTCTTGTTCATCACCATCATTGTGTCGGTGTTTTCCAGCATAAGTCAGCCATTTCGAGCTCTTGTTCCTGTAAGGTATTTATAAATAAATGTAACATCTATAATTGAATCCTATGCATTTTTTCATGCTTATATTCTTAGTACAAGGTGATACATTTATTAAATAAGAATAGGTTCATTCATCAACTGTACAAAAAAACATGGTTGGAGAAAGGATCATTGCTTGAAATTCCAACTAGTCTTAACTGATAAGGCAGGTAGTGTCTCGGGCGCTTAAGTCCATGTTGTTCTAAAATTTAAAGATCTTGCAGAATTGTGGAAAAATGTTAAATGGACTCCTAATTTGGAAGCTGGTTTTCTACATGTAAAAACACTAGCTTCCAAAAAAGGCTAATTAAAAAAAGTCACAATTCTGCTCAGGCTTCAACTTTATGGTAAAATTGTTCAACAGACAAAAACTTGGTGAAATTTCAAGCCATTCATTTATAAAGAATTCATCTTTATTGTTCCTGACTGATGAGGAAGCTATCTTCCATTTATATGAATGTTAGACACAATACAACCAAACTCAGGAAATTATAAAATTGGAGCATGTTTATAGGCCATTTGCACAATTGTACCTGGGTTAGTCTTAGCTTTCCTGCTCTTTCCCCTTGAGCATTTATCCATGATGAGGAGCATCACAGTTGGAACAAGTATGTGAAGGTATTTGAAGGTGAGCATTTCAACATCTAAATATTAGTATTTCAAGAGCAACATTTGCGTAAATTGTGAGTTTTGCTAGATCAGCATTTTTTTGCTGAGTGCAAATAGGATTGCATGAAGCTTTCACAAGATTCAGCGAGAGATCCCTTCAGCCCATCTTGCTATTTCTTAAATGCATCCAATATCCTACCCTCAACCATGGTTTCTGGCAACTTGCTCCAGTCATTAATTATCTTCTGTGTAAAGAAATGCTTGATGGTATCTGTCTTAAAATTGTCCTTCACAACCATAAACCTGTGCCCTCTTGTCTGTTGACCGGGTGATTAAATAAATAAAACTGGAAAATATATTTTAAAGGCAGAATGACCTCTTTCTTTATTGCTTACTCCAGCAATGAATATAAAACCGAATACATTGTACCTGTTCTTAAATATTACTTACTGCAGTTGTTACATTTATGGTCTAGAGTTTCAGTGACTTATTCCAGTCGTATGCCAACTGGAAAATTGGACATTTATCTTTTATTTGTAGAAAGGAAAGGGATGATCCCATAAAATTTCAGATGCATGAAATCACATGCTTTTAACAGCTGTGGGAATAATGAGGCTCATAGTTGTAGAATGGCACATTAACCAAGACCATAAGCAAATGTTAACATTTAAGGGATCAAGCTAAAGCTGCAGGACTAATTTTAAATTAAAAGTATCAGTTAGATCTCAAGCTGTGATACAAATCCTTATAGTTCTTGAATAGCATTATATTTGCCTTGCGCTTCAGACATAAGACCAGACATTTATTTCCATAGCAGTTCTTCCAATCTTATAACTGATAATGTTAATAAAACCAGTTATGGTACTAGTTTCTTGCTTAGCATCTAATTTACCATCCAGCGTACTCATTGCTAGTTCTGCCTTCATTTAGGGTAGCGTCTCAGAGTGTGACATTAACCAGTCATTATACTTTAGATTAAATTCTGCCCTTTGAGACATCCTCCCAATGTGAAAGGCCCTATAGGGTTTACAGTAACCAAATGGGAAGAATTCTTGCCTCTGGTAATACCAACTAAGCCAATATGACACCTAAATATCAACAAAAGTTTCTTGTAAAAAATAACCTTTGCAGGTTATAATTTCACAAAATCACAACTTAACTTTGATGGAGGAAATATGTGCTATCTAATGTGATCATTTATTACGTGATAATTATCATATTTTCCCCAAAAATGTTTCAACATATTCTACTTCTGGAATTGTATCTCTGGTTACACTCTGAATGTCTGAAATTTATCCTGGTCTTATCTTTAAAATTAGAATTTCATAATAAAATTAAATGTGGTCTGAATTTGAAAGCTGTTTCTCTTCTGTTCTTAAAACAATTCACAAGTTGATTGCATCCTGATTATTAGTAACCAGTAATAACATTATAGTTCAAAGCTTATTTTGTTCTTCCTACCGCAGAGATTTATTTCAGTTTAAGATTCAGATTAAGAAAGTTACATAAATATATATTTGCTGTAAAATCAATATATAGCAGCAAAAGAGTATCTCAACATTGCCACCTGGTGGCAAAAGGCTGTAGAATAATTTTTAATATATCATTGTTTTACAATCTATTCATATTCAGGAGTGGATTTTGCATTGGATGAATGTCTCATACATGAATGTCTCATGCCCCCTACCTACCTGCCCGTACCCTCCGTTCCTCTGGCTCTGGTCTGCTCCACGTCCCCCGCCCCAAACGCCCTACCATCGGTGGTCGGGCCTTCAGCCTCTCAGCCCCGAGGCTCTGGAACTCTATCCCCCAGTGCCTTCGCCGCCTCCTCCCTTTCCTCCTTCAAGGCCGGTCTCAAGACCTTTCTCTTTGACCGTGCCTTCAGCTCCCCTCTCGACTCTCTTCCCCCTCCTCGCTCCCTCCCTCCCCTCACCTCACCCTGACCATTTCCCCCTCCTTGCTCCCTCCCTTCACTCACCCTGACCATTTCCCCCCTCCTCGCTCCCTCCCTTCCCTCCCCTCACCCTGACCATTTCCCCCCTGCTCGGGTCATGACCCAACTGTGCAGCGCCTTGGGACGTCCTCCTGACGTGAAAGGCGCTTTATAAATGGAATCTTGTTGTTGTTGATGTCTCAAACTACTTCACTACGGCAATGAAAAATCCCCAAGCATAGAGGAAAAGGAGAGGCAATTCAAAAGTGTTGGTAAAAGTCACTGTGAAAGAGAGAGGCAGGAAGAAGCTCTCTTGAGCATTTGTTCAGAAGGAATGCAGCTTAATTCAAGATTTTTTTTCTGTCAATTGTACTCAGTTATTCATTAACAAAACCTCAACAAAACCTACCTCAGTGACTCATGGCTTTTATGAAGCACTTCATATTGTTAAAGATATCTATTCTATTTACAGTACATGATTTGAAAGTTCATTTACATAGCAAGTCCTTCTAAACCAACAACAACAAGATTACATGTGTATAGCGCCTTTCATGTCGGGAGGACGTCCCAAGGCGCTGGACAGTGTGTAGCATTTCAGAACCACATGCTGTCCTACAAGTTGTCTTTCTGGGGGAAAAAAGTCTAAACTGGAATATGTACATCTGGGTGTTGGTTTATTTAGCCATTATAACAACTCTATCAGATCCCCTCTCAATCATCCCACCTCCACTCTTTCTCTACTCATTTTGGCAGACAGATACATCAAATAAGAAAATCATGTCAAGAAGTGATTTCAGTAACTCACAGCCTTTCTCATTTCATAGGGTTTCTGTAAGTGAACATACAGAAAAGGGGCTTCATAGTTGAGGCTGAATTCGACTGTTTGCCAAATTCTGGAAGATCTGAAATGTTACAGAGAAATAAGCACATAAGAAATACTAGACGAAAGAAGTCCAAGATCCACCCAGTTCACCTTCCACCATCCTAGCATTTCAATTGTCATATAAATGCCCAAGAAAAGATTGTGTGCAAACTTGGAATAACGGCACCAAACTGAGAGATCGTTAGAATAACACAAGTCCAATACTGACTGGCCGGGACTGGCAATCACTTG